CTTCTTTTACTAGGAGAAGGGTTAAGAAGAAAGTGGCAACCCAGGCAGGACACACAGTGGTTGTTTGAGTGGGTATCACAGGGGCAGGGAATGTATATGGCAGGTTCAAACAGGAAGCTGCCTATGAATTTGCATACCTGTTGGAATAAAAGAGCAGCACAGACCCAATTTCAATAATCATATGTGTGACTTTGGGCTATCAAATAATTGCTGCTGATTTGCTGGGTGAGGAACAGAGTGGGGAAGTTGGTTCAAGGTATTTAAGTAAAATCGAATGGAATCTAGCTAGGAATGAAACTGCTTGCAGAATCTCTACTCCGGGTGCTTTCAACCAAATGGTGGAGTGGAGACTCATTGTTGTTGTTTAGTCGTTTAGTCATGTCCGACTCTTCGTGACCCCATGGACCAGAGCATGCCAGGCACTTCTGTCTTCCACTGCCTCCCGTAGTTTGGCCAAACTCATGCTGGTAGCTTCGAGAACACTATCCAACCATCTCGTACTCTGTCGTCCCCTTCTCCTTGTGCCCTCCATCTTTCCCAACGTCAGGGTCTTTTCCAGGGAGTCTTCTCTTCTCATGAGGTGGCCAAAGTATTGGAGCCTCAGCTTCACGATCTGTCCTTCCAGTGAGTACTCAGAGCTGATTTCCTTCAGAATGGATAGGTTTGATCTTCTTGCAGTCCATGGGACTCTCGAGAGACTCATTAAAGATGGTTTAATTCCCACCCTTGGGACATCATATTCCAAGAGACTAAGATCAACATCTGTCAACCTGGTCTCCTCTATCATTGCAGACTATAATTCCCATCAGCCCCAGCCAACTCAAACTCTCCCCCCCCCCTCAAAACAGAGGGAAGTTTGCCTCATGTTATATTGAATAAGCTTCTGCTGGAGAGCATCTGGGAAATGACAAGGAAGTGCCTTGGCTGAATTTTTATCTGTTGTTTTTCATTTTCGTGACTGAATTATCATTTCAAATTGTTTTTACAAACTTAGTCATTTAATGCCATTAAAACCACTTTACATTAGAACTATTGTTCAGTATTGTCAGTACTTGTTTTCTTCTTCTAAAAATAATGTTTAGGGGTACTCGCATTTTCCTACTGATATTGAAATCCTGCCCCTCAATGAGGCCAAACTTAGATTCACAAAATGTTAAGGGGTATGCATCCCCCCCAGAAAAAATGCACTGTGTATTGTTAATATAATAATAATACCTTTACTGTCAATGTACAACCTATGTACAAAGAAATTAACCAAGCCTAACCGAGCCTCCTTCCCGCCCACAAACACTCAATCTCATTGCACTCTGTGTGCTTATCGCACAACACACCACCTCGCAAGTCAGTTGCGCTATGTTATTTTCCCTTCAACACCCTAACAGCCTGCGGATAGAAGCTATTTTTTAGCCTGTTGTTACGACTAATTATACTTCTATATCTCCTGCTGGAGGGTAGAAGAGTAAAGAGATGCTTCAGGGGTGTGAGTCATCCCTGAGAATTTTTTTTGTTCTCCTAAGGCAAAGATCCCTTGCAATGTCATCTAGCGGACTGAAGGGACAGCCCATGATATCATGTGCTGTATTCACCACCCTCTGTAGAGACTTTCTGTCCATGGCTGTCAAGCCAGCAAACCACACTTTGATACAATATGAAAGTAAATATAATAGTTATATAATAGTTATTGCATAATATCTTACTTGGTTAAGTCTGCTTTGTGGGTTTCTGATTCATGGTTCTCTGCTGCCCCCTCTGGGATCTCTTTACTAACGTGAATGCAGGAAACAGGTTTTTCCCCCCTGAGGTCTGCTAGGATCTCTCATACTGTTGCCTCTTCCACACTTCAACTTGTTTCACCACTTCCCCGCAGGAAAACGTCAATGGGGTTTTCTTCTGTAGAATGATATTTGTGGTAAAGAATGGACTTTCTTTGGGAAAGCGGTGTGGCAAACCAGAATTGCACCCCTTAGTCCTATGCCTAGAAAGCATGGGACACGCAGAAAACCTCTTAGACCCATCCTTTCTAAGTGCTGGACAAACAGAAGTGTGGACAAGCCCCATGTCTCTCTCACAGTAGTACAAGGCCGTGTCTTCTGCTCTCAGACTGTTCATCTGCAGATGGAAGTTGGAGTCACCTTTAGAGGCCCATAATTGCCCTTGCATTGCAGAAGAATAAAAACTGTACCCAGGAGTGGGATCATAATACCAAATAAGCCATTCCAATCCTTTGCCAGGTTATTTCCAGCATCTGCTCTGAAGGAGCTTCTGGGGTTTTTGTACAAGGAGGAAAGCAGAAGTTGTCACTGTGTGTCTTGCACAGTAATACAAGGCAGAGTCCTCAGGCTTCAAGCTGCTCATTTGCAAATAGGCTGAAGTTTGAGAATTGTCTCTGGAGATGGTGAATCGTCCCTGAACCTTGGAATTATACCATTGGGTACTTCCAGAAGGTTTGCTAATTCCAGCCACCCACTCCAGTCCTTTCCCTGGAGCCTGACGAATCCAGTTGATTGCATAACTAGTAAAGTTGAATCCTGAAGCCTTGCAGGAGAGGCGGAGGGAGCCTCCAGGAGCTACAGCACCTCCTCCAGTCTCCACTAACTGAACCTCTGAGTGACAGCCTAAAAAATGGAAGAAAGAGAGTCAGGGGAAAAGTGTGTAGAAAAGTGTGCAAATCCCCAGGATTTCCAGTGAGAGAAATATTACCTGGGAGAACTGTCAAGAAGAGAAGGAGGTTTAACCAAAGAATCATATTAGTTTGGATCATCTTCTTGACTGGCTCAGTCTTAGCTGCCTGGAGGCTGCAGGACTGAATTGGAAAGGGCAGCTTTTAAGGCAGTGAAGTGGTTCAACTGATTTGCATGTGCTTCATATAATAACCTCCTTTCCTCTGAACTCTTAATTCATGATTCTTTCCCAGCTAAATGGCCACAGAAAAGAAGGGGAACAATTTGCCTTTGTTGGCAATGATTTTGGGGTGAGCCTGCCTCATTGGGCACATCTCACCTGGCAGCAGGTGGAGGAGTGTAGTTTTCTGTTGAGAAAGAGTAACCTTTCATCGATGTTCAATATGGACAGTTTGTTCCAGAGCAGCTCCCTGAGGATTGAGTAAAAGGATCCTTTTAGGTCCAGAAACACTGTACAAAGTTTTTGATTAAGAACACTAGAGTATTTATTCCCTAGGTGGGAAAGTATGATACAATGACACAAGGTGGTTTTGCTCTGGCAAAAGCACACCTCCTCAGGGACTGGTAATGTAGATTGGGACATCCACTGGGTAAGCTTTCCCAGAAGTTGTTTAGCATATAGCTTCCCCAATATGGAGAGGAGGCTTATTGGTCTGTAGTTGGATGGTAATGTGCACTCTCCCTTTTTGTATATTGGAACGACGATTGTGCTTGTCCATGCCTCTGGCATTGTCCAGACATATCTACCTTTGTGAATAGGTTGGGCAGCAAGAGAGCCCAGCAATCAGGGTCTAATTTAAGAACATTGGAACTTGTGCCATCTGGGCCAGTGGCTTTCACTTACTTTAACTGGCCTATTAACCTTTTTATTTCATCTCATGAAACTGGAGGCCACTTGGGGGCATTGATTTACATAGAATGATGACAAGCTGTCCCACTGTACAGATCTTCCTGCAAGGCACTTGAAAAGTAAAGGCACCAACCACTAGGTGAAACAGGTGGAGAGGAGAGGTCATTGGTGTTAAATGCCCCAGAAATTAAGGTACAGAATTTTTTTCACTGAGGTTATGGAATAGTGGAGTTGTTCCCATTGTTTGTTGGTAGGTTCGGATCTCTCTCTTTTTTATAAGATGCTACAGCGGCTCCCTCGGCCAATAAAGTGAGATGAGCGCCGCAACCCCAGAGTCGGCTACGACTGGACCTAATGGTCAGGGGTCCCTTTACTTTTACAGTAAGTCTTTAGTCCTGAAATATTCTAGGGGTAGGGTGGTAGCCTCTTCCTTACAGTGTTGTCAGGAGATATTCCGGATGTGTGCTTTGAGATCTCTGCATTCCTTATCAAACCAGCAACAAAGGGCTCCCTGAATTGTTTTCACACTTTGAATTGCTATTTTGTAAAGTCATTCAGAGATGTTATTAGGCTTTCAACTGATGCCGCAAAGAATCTGACACTTCTCTGCTCAATTTGCATGTTCAAAAGTGGTTTCCAGAATTGTGGGGAAATCTCTTGAGGAGTCAAACTCTCAGGGGACCAGTACAAATGAAGCAGAGGAGAAAATAATTGTCTTTGTGGAAGAAAACACAAACCAGCATACAGTTACACAGCACCCCAATCTCTGAGCGGTGCAAGATTCCGAGGGTTCCAGGCACTCACGAAGGGTCTGTATTTCTTTTTGAAAATGAGGCACTATAGAGACTATGTTGTCTTTATGATATATGGTTTATTTAAACATATATACAACCTGAGCCTGTGATGGAGGGGCTCACAACATTGACACCTGAAGAGGATATTACTTCTCTCATAACTGTACAGAATCTAATCCATCATCCCAGTTGATGTTTAGCTTCATACATGCATAGGGGAACATGAGAACCTTTCCCCAGGGAATGCTTTTGCTCAGTTTTTGCAGTACCTCTTTATTATTCTCAATGAATTCTTAATTTCCATTGGGTTTGCAAACTTTTTTATTTATTGTGATTGAATAGAACCAACTATCTTTTCACAGAAATGATAGGTTCCAGAATACATTTTCATTTTCCCTTAACCATGATATTTGGCTGGATGCACAGAAACATACAGCTGGAATAGACTGACACGGGAATCGAGTCCACCATCATGATTACCTGCCTACATACAGAAAAGAACATGATAACCTTTACCTAAAAAACGCCTCAGTACTTCTTTAATTTTCTACTTGAATTCTTTTCAATTGCGTTTGCAAAGTAATTTATGCATTCTGATTGAACAGAACCAAATTTCTGCATTCAGAATCAGTTTCTTCTTTTTGTTCAGAGTCCCAATTGCGGTGTGTCACTGTGCTATCTCGAGCACAGAAATACACGGCTGAGTCTGCAGCTGTCAGGGAGTTCAGTTGGAGGGAGAACTCGTTCTTGGAGTTGTCTGAAGAAATTGTTACACGGCTCTGAAGAGAAGCAGCAAACCATTTTCTCCCATCATAGGGGTATATTCTTGCAACCCACTCTAGACCTTTGCCAGCAGGCTGACGGATCCAGTTCCAAACAGAACTTGAATCAGTGATGGAGACACCAGTAACTTTACAAAGCAGACGAAGGTTCTCTCCAGGTCTCACTGTGCTTGGCCCAGAAGAAACAAGCTGAACATCGGAAAGGACCCCTTGAAAAGAGAGAACAATAATGAATTGAATTGAGCATCATCTAATGAACATCTTCTAATCACTGCATGAAATAAACCTATATTTTTTATCTTCCCATAGAATACACTTACATTTTTGAAAGGCCACCAAAGAAAACAAGAACAGCAGGAACTTCATGGTTTTAACAAAGAAGTGTCCTAGTGAGGCGGGGAAAAGGAGGATTTGGACATGGGAGAAAGTCAGTAATTTATACTGAGGGGACCTCTTTTGCTGAGAGTTCCGCAAGACCACCTCCAGCCTTCTTAAGTGATTTGCATGTGTCCTTCCTTAGCAAGATATGCTATATAAAGGGACTGTGAGAAACTGGGCTGAGGTCAGGGCTGGCCTGCTTTCCCCTCAGGTGTGTTTCCAATATGTTAACAAACATGTTTACTGTAAAATCAGTATTATATATTTTGAAGCACATAATTTTCAAGAAATCATGCTTTGGATATCTGCCTTGCTTTCTGAACCATTTTCTTAGCTACAGTTCTTTTAATGTCAACTGTCCAGCTAATTCAGTATCAAGGTTTGACCAAAGAAGGGGCTTTATGAGATCACTTAGAAGGATTTCAGTCAAAGGTCCACTCTGAATGAATTGAAGGATAAGGCTCTTCTATCCAGCCTGTGTTTCAGCTGGTAAAGTTGAACACACTCATAACTTTCACAGGAACATGAGATCCCTCTCAGACTGCCTAAACCCTTCTCTGCATAAGTTTTCTGGTCCACAGAGCCAGCCCACCAATGACTTGGGGTGAGTCATCTGCCTTATGTGGCACCTAATGGAAGTGGTAGGAAAGCTGCCTCACTGCTGCTTAAACCCCAATGACCTTCATGGCTGATTGGAACTCTGGTCTCCTAGACCCTAATCCATCATTCTAACCACTACACCACACATTCTCTGCAGTGTCATGTTATCCCTGATCATTGGCCATTCAGAGAAAAGAAACCAATTATTCACCAGGAGAAGGAGGAGAGGGATGGGGACAAAAGAGCCTTCTTCTCCATCTCCTCTTGGAATCTGCATGCCGGCTTGGGGGTGGGGGTGGAGGCTTCATCGATTCTTGCATAGCTCAGCTCAGCCCTTCTTTCAATGCAAGACATGAAGTTGGAGCCACCCCAAGAAGTTCAGACAGGGATCTCAATCCTGTTCCTTGTGCTTGAGCCATCATGGTCTGATCTGTATGTATGACCTTCAAACGTCTCAGCAGGGCTTCTGCCCATATGCCAAGGGCAGTGGATTTATCAAGTTGGATTTATTCCCTGTCTACAAAGATGGTTTGAAGAGCATGTCAACCATGAGGCATTGGCCATATGAACTTTTCTCACCATACATGTTTTTCATTGTTGTTCATTTCTCTACCATTATTATTATATACATAGCTGTCAGCTTTTCCCTTTCCTTGCAAGGAATCCTATTCGCAATAAGGGAATTTCCCTTTAAAAAGGGGGAAAGTTGACAGCTATGATTATATATGGAACATACTTAACATACATACATACATTGTTATGTTTGGAAGCCTCACAGAATCAAGAAAAATGTTTTCCCCTCTCCTAAGTAGTTTCTCTTAGGGATAAAGAGACCCCAAATGGAAAGGGGATTTTCCTGTGAGCTTCACAAGAAGGGAATGGTCAGTGATGTTATTTAGTTCTGTGGAACAAATATCAAATGTTCAATATTTCACAAAATACATATTTGTGACCAAGCACACTGCTTTGCCCCCACAACTGAGAGGGTCGGGACCACCCAGTTTAAGCACGGTATGCACGCATGCTCTGGGGCATGCTGCCATCACTCACTGACCCAGGGGCAAAGTGGAGGGAAATAGGCAGCAGCTTCCCCACCACTCTCCTTGCCTGTGCTGCAACACGAGAGGGAGCTGCCGAGCCAGTTTCCTCATGCCTGGCTGCAGCCTCCACTCCATGATCAGTCCAGACCTGGGGGCAGAGACAAGGCGTGTCGGCTGCAGTGATAGGCAATTGTTTATCTCTTGGAGTTTTGTGAAGAAGAACTTACATGGGATGGGGGTAGGCCAAGGTTTTGAAAATGGTATAGGTGCAATATATTCTGAACAAAAGGCCAAATTAATTGTAAATAATGTGGTCACAGAAGAATTTAAGATAGAAAAAGGGACACGACAGGGGTGCCCAATTTCCCCACTACTTTTTATATCTGTCCTGGAGGTCCTGCTAAACATGATTAGAAAGGACCGGTTGGTTAAAGGTATACAGGTCGGAACTAAACAGTACAAATTGAGAGCATTTGCAGATGACTTAGTATTGACGTTACAGGAGCCAGAATCTAGCAATAAAAGAGTTTTAGAATTAATTCAAGAATTTGGTCAAGGGGCAGGTTTTAAATTGAACAAGCTAAAAACTAAGGTTTTAGAGAAAAATTTAACACCGATTGAAAGAGATAGGTTTCAGAATGAGACAGGATTGACTGTGGTAAAGAAAGTGAAATACTTGGGGATTAATATGACAGCCAAAAATGGGAACTTATTTAAAGATAATTATGAAAAATGTTGGACGGAAGTGAAAAGAGATTTGGAAATCTGGTCAAATTTGAAGCTTTCACTGCTGGGCCGTATTGCTGCGATAAAAATGAATGTATTGCCTAGAATGTTGTTTTTGTTTCAGACATTGCAAATTGTGGACAAGTGGCAGAGAGATATTTCTAGATTTGTCTGGCAGGGCAAGAAGCCGAGAATAAAATTTAAGATATTAACTGATGCAAAGGAAAGAGGTTGATTTGCCCTGCCAGACTTTAAACTTTATTATGAATCAGCAGCCTTTTGCTGGTTGAAAGAATGGCTACTTCTTGAAAATACAGACATTTTGGATTTAGAAGGTTTTAACAACGTATTTGGATGGCATGCATATTTATGGTATGATAAGGTCAAAGCACATAAAGCATTTAAAAATCATATTGTTAGGAAAGCACTGTTCAATGTTTGGATAAGATACAAGGATTTATTGGAAAATAAAACCCCAAGGTGGTTGTCACCGATGGAAGCGAAAGCTCTGAAAAGGCTCAATATGGAGGCCAAATGGCCGAAATATTGGGAAATTTTGGAACAAGATGGAGACAAATTGAAATTGCAGAGTTTCGAGAAATTAAAAAACAAAGTGAGAGATTGGCTTCATTATTATCAGATAATGGAGGCATATAATGTGGATAAGAAAATTGGCTTCCAGGTGGAAAAATCAAAATTAGAAACAGAATTGTTAGAACCCAAAACTAATAATTTGTCAAGAATGTATAACTTGCTGTTGAAATGGAATACTCAGGATGAAACGATGAAATCTGCTATGATTAAATGGGCACAAGATGTTGGACATAATATTATGTTTGCTGACTGGGAACAGTTATGGACCACTGGTATGAAGTTTACGGCATGTAATGCCTTAAGAGAGAATATTATGAAAATGATATACAGGTGGTACATGACCCCAGTCAAGCTTGCAAAAATCTATCATTTGCCTGATAATAAATGTTGGAAATGTAAAGAAACTGAAGGTACATTCTTTCACCTTTGGTGGACATGCCCAAGGATTAAGGCTTTCTGGGAGATGATTTATAATGAAATAAAAAAGGTATTTAAATATACCTTTCTGAAGAAACCAGAGGCCTTTCTTCTGGGAATTGTCGGCCAATTGGTGCCAAAGAAGGACAGAACCTTTTTTATGTATGCTACAACAGCAGCAAGAATACTCATCGCTAAGTATTGGAAGACACAAGATCTACCCACTCTGGAAGAATGGCAGATGAAGGTGATTGACTACATGGAATTGGCGGAAATGACTGGCAGAATCCGAGACCAGGGAGAAGAGTCGGTGAAAGAAGACTGGAAGAAATTTAAAGACTATTTACAGAAATATTGTAAAATTAAGGAATCTTAGAAGGATGTTGGATAGAAACTAAGAGGTTTTTAGCTGTAATGCTTTAAGAGATATGAAAAAAGGTTTACAATTGGGTAAAAGCTTAATGGTAAGGATTTGCTGAACTAACAAACTGAACTGGAATACAAAAAAGGGAGGTACGAGGAGGTCCGGGGAAATAAGTGTAGGGAAGATAGGTTATGGAAAATTAATGTCTTTTTAACTGTTTTATTTTGTATGTTTCTTTTTATTCTTTACTTTTTTGTTATATTTTAAAAACTTTATTCTTTTTTCTGTATTCTGTATTTCTTGTATTTTTTGAAACTTTAATAAATATCATTTTAAAAAAAAAGATAGGCAATTGTTTCCCCTTATATAAAGATGTAAGCATGCAATAAACATATGCCATTACATAAAATGTTAGAAAGTAAACCCACTGGATTGTGACAGACAGTGGTTCTCCTGAGTCTCAGCAGGAGCTTCCTTTACATCTCCTCTTTAACGAAACTTTCACTGGACATGAAAAATGAGGATGGAAAGCTCTGCTGGATCAGTTGTGAGGCATCACCTTGGTACCATATATCAAATCGAAACAAACATTAAAATGGGGGCATTCACTAGGTAAAGGGACAAGCAAAAAAAATCGGGGAACAAAATTTAATCAGGACAGTAGACTGTCAAGCATGTTTTTGGAAAAAAGCTGCAGTTACAGGAAAATTCTTCCCCCTTTCATTGGAGATCCTGCAGAATGTTGAGGGTACATTCTGCAAGCAAAACATATGTTCTATGATTAATCCTCATCACCAACATCATAAGCCCAAATGAATGTCCAAACACATATAATGGTTGGAATTCCTGTGATATGTCTATCTTCATATGTATCACCCTGGTTGTCATTAACACTGATTAATCAGGAGGTTAGACTGAATGGAACTCAATGTTCAAGAGATCAGCTCCCTCCCTTTGCAATATAACATCTTTATGTTTATGGAGTAGAGACAGAAATGTGTGTTCAAAATCAGTTTCCTCTTTTTGTACACATCCACCATTGGCCTTGTCTCACTGTGTTTCTCGGGCACAGAAATACACAGCGGAGTCGGCAGCTGTCAGGGAGGTCAGCTGGAGAGAGAACTCGTTCTTGGAGGCATCTGAAGAAATGGTTGTTCGGCTTTGCAGAGAAGGGGCATAGAATTTGCCCCCTGAGTTGTGATTTATTGCTGCAATCCATTCTAGACCTTTCCCACGAGGCTGACGGATCCAGTGCCAAGCATAAGAAGAAGAAGTGGAAATAGAGAAACCTGTCACTTTACAGACTAAACTCAGATTCTCTCCAGGTCTCACTGTTCCTGGTCCAGAAAGTGCAAGCTGAATGTCTGAGAAGGCCCCTTGGGAAAGAGAGAAGATTGCAATGAGCATCAGACACCATCTAATTCATACATTAAGTAAACAGAGCTGTCTTAATTTTCCCCAGAAGGCATGCTTACATCTTGGAACAGCCACAAAAGAAAACAAGAACAGAATGAACTTCATAATTTGTATAGGTAGCCTATTGAGGAAAGATGATCTTTTGAACGGGAGAAAAGGTCAGGGTCTTTAAAGTGGTGAGTTTCCTTTTGAAGAGGAATTCTGCCCGCCCCCATATTTACATGAGCCCCTCCTCCAATGACAGGTGGAATATAAAGTGGCTCTTACAAGCAGAATGATGTAGGCTTTTCCAGGTCTTCCTTATTTGTCACTGAGAATGCCTGGACAGAGAGATGATTTCCCCTCCCCAGCACTTGCTCTTTGGTACATCACTGCTCTGGGCATTTGTTCAGGCATGCCCAGAGCAGTGGGCAAAGATTCTTTCCCACAAACTTGATTCAGCAGAAATAGGGGTGGATCCAAATCCTTCCTCTTTATCCTGCCTGTTGGGACTGCATAAATAGAGAGAGAGGGTGAAGCTCCTGAAAGCCCAGAATATGTGACTGCATAACCTCCAAGATTACTCAGATGAAAATAAGGACATTCATCACTCCCCAACCCTACAATTGACCCTCCTCGATCCCCTTTTTATTCTCCCCTATGTAGTGCATTTCCTGACAGAAGAACAGCCAGGGCCACCACACAGAAGACCTACTGTCCACTGTCATGAGAATTCCCCTTAATGCCATTTTTATTTTATTCTTTGATAGACTTACAAAAAGAAAAACACAGGCAATAAATAAATTTTTAAAAGTGGCAAGATTAGATGTGGACACACAATTTTTTTTTTAATTAAAAAAGATCAAGACTTTTTATGTTTTTTTATTTTAAAATTCAACTCTTCCCCTCCCCAGTGCAGTTCAAATTGAAAGCTAGGAAATGGTGTCAATTGACTATTCAGATTTTTGCTTGAACTATCCAGTTCATTCCCCACAAACAGGAAGAAATGCTAATAAGATTTCAGATGAAAGTTTTTTCTGAGCCTACATTCAATTCCTTTCACTATGTCTCTCTTGCACAGTACAGTGGTACCTCTGGATGCAAACGGGATCTGTTCTGGTGCCCCGTTCGCATCCAGAAGTGAATGCAACCTGCGTCCATGCGTCTGCGCGTGTGCGGGTTGCGATTTGCTGCTTCTGCGCATGCGCGTGACATCATTTGGACCGTCTGCGCATGCACGAGAGGTGAAACCCGGAAGTAACATGCTCCATTACTTCCGGGTCGTCGCACCGCACAACCCAAAAATACTTATCCCGAAGCTACTTCAACCTGAAGTATGACTGTAATACACAGCTGTGTCCTCAGGTTTAAGGCTGAGCGTAGTGTTTCCAGATTACTTAATTCCCAGTCCAGGAGGACCACAACATGCTGGTGGCAGAAGCTGCTCCTGAATATCTTCCACTGTAAATAGAATTTTTGAAAGAACAGAAATCTTGAAGGAAGTCTGAAGCCCTGTGAGAAAAAGAAAGGAATGGGCAGGATGAATTTGCTTTGAATGGGTTTACTGGGTTGGAACAAGATAATCACGGGACAACTCCCAACAGGCTAGAGATGGGCTAAAGAAGAACAGATGTTCCCTGTAGTAACAGCTAATGTTGTTCCCTTGTTTTGTCTGCTCTGTCCTGATAGATTCTGGTTTGTGGTGCTTTGATGCCCCCTCTGGAAACTTCACTAATGGAATGCAATGAAGAGTTTTTGTCTAAGGTCTAATGGGAAATCTCTCACTGTGTCTCTTGCACAGTAATACATGGCTGTGTCTTCTGCTGCCAGGCTGTTCATTTGCAGATAGAGCAGGCTGTTTGAATTGTCCCTGGAAATGGTGAAGCGCCCCTTCACTTTCTCCAAGTAGCGAATGTCAGCTGAAGCACCAGATATTTGTGCCACCCACTCCAAGCCTTTTCCTGGTGCTTGTCTCACCCAGTGCATGTAATAGCTGCTGAAGGTGAACCCGGAGGCTCGACAGGTAAGGCGGAGGGACTCTCCAGGCTTTTTTGTATCCCCTCCAGACTCCACCAGCTGAATCTCCGATTGGATGCCTAGAAAAAAAAGAGATATCAATTATCGCTTCTGCATATTATTAGCAGTCTGGCTGTCCAACTCTTGTTTATTTGAAAGGATGGATTTACCTCTAAAAACGGCTGAACAGAAAACAAGCTGAAGCAGAACTATCATTTTTGCCATCTAATGCCAGGAAAGGTTTGAACAAATTCTGGCCCCACGTATTCAGGGTCCTGTGGCTGAGGAAGGCAGGGTGCCTGGTGGATTTAAAGAGGAAGCAATCTCCAATAATTTGCATATGTAGTAAGGTAAAAGCACCACTACAGCTGTTGGGCAAACTATGGTTCTGAGGGCAAGCCTAGTCTATATAACAAGCTATTATTTTCCAGTGTCTAGTTTAGCAGTTGTTACCACAGTAGGTTTGAATATTCCTCTTAGGATCAAAGAGCAAAATGGGGCTTGGGTATTAGGTTGCCATCTTTCTTTTCTTTTCTTTTCTTTTCTTTTCTTTTCTTTTCTTTTCTTTTCTTTTCTTTTCTTTTCTTTTCTTTTTGTCTTTCTTAAAGATGGGGAAATAATGTTATTGGCATCTGGAAATAATAGAATGAATAAAAGCTGACACCACTTGAAATAAAAATCATCTCGAACAAAAATATGGTTTCAAAGCTTTACTTACAGAACTTTCATAGAATCATAGAATTGTAGCTTGCTCCAAAATAGACAGAAAACAATGTTACATCAAATAGTTGCATAAAACCATGTGTTTCTCCAACCACAAGTTTAGCATCTTAGTAATATAAAATCACTCCAAACAGAGCTGGGGAAAAAAGCTCTTTCCACACCCAGACTCCATTAGCCTGAATTCCAGTCTGAAGCTTTTCTCTCCTGGAGATACCTCATTAGGAAACCTTACTTCTATGGTGGCTTGAGCAAGGACAGAGGAAAGGCGGTGTGGTGGGGGCAGGCTGCCCTGGGTGTCACCACTGAGGAGGGTGATAAAATGCCGGGCGGCACTCACCGTGGGGCCTGCAGTGCACAAGCCACACGTCTCTCCTGGGAGTGACGCAGTGGCTTGGGTGCTGGCAGGCTCCGTATTGCCACAAACGGTCCACCCGCTGCCTCCCCCTCAGCTGTAGGGCAGCTGAGTGGGAGGAGGCAGGCAGTGTCCTTGGAGGCCCCATGGAGTATCCTGCCCCGGCTCACTCCACCGCTGGGCACAGGACACGTGCACCGCTGCAGGCGCCCAATGGGCTTGCTCTGCCGCTGGGCTTCAGAACAAAGGACAACTCCCTAAAAATGGAGGTTTGCAACTGAAATCAAGATACAGGACCGTATCCCATAAGAACTGTATTCCTGAATAGCACCTCAAATGCAGTGGTGGAGTTTCATGCTCCAGCACCGGGGGGCAGAGATCAGGCGGGGACAGGCCTGGCGCGCATACAAAGGGCATGGCGTGCCACCCGCAGGGGCAAGACGTGCGTCCTGGGGCCGTGGTACACCGCCTGTGGGGACTTGGCAGCCGTGATGATACCCCAACAGAATTGCACTGCCAGGGGTGGTGCATTCCCCCCCCCCGCACGCCTCTTCCTCCACCAGTGCTCAAATGTTGTCACATGGTGTGATTCCTGAAAGCACTGGCAAAATTACAGCAAGCACAAAAATCCAGGATGATGGAATTCCAAATGGATGTTTTTCTGGAATACATTATCATGGAAATGAGTGCTAAGGTTCCACAGGATTACACTAGATTTACGGAAGTAGCTTTTGTGTCATGTGAAAGAGAGATCTCACCAGAGACAGAAACCATGTGGAGTGGCACTGTGATGTATTGTGCACTTCACGTGGGAGTTGCCCCATTGGTCCCTGTTTGCTTTTCTTCCCCCCTTGTTAACAATACATCCTCCTCTAGCACCTGCATTCCAGCTGCAAAGGCTGCAAAGCAGGGCTTTTTGTACAAGCAGGAAAGCAGAGGTTGTCACTGTGTCTCTTGAACAGTAATACAAGGCAGAGTCCTCAGGCTTCAAGCTGGTCATTTGAAGATAGGCTGAAGTTTGAGGATTGTCTCTGGAGATGGTGAAGCGTCCCTGAACCTTGGAATTATACCATTGGCTACTTCCTGAACCACTTACTCCAGCCACCCACTCCAGTCCTTTCCCAGGAGCCTGACGAATCCAGTGGATTTCATAACTAGTAAAGGTGAATCCTGAAGCCTTACAGGAGAGGCGGAGGGAGCCTCCAGGAGCTACAGCACCTCCTCCAGTCTCCACCAACTGAACCTCTGAGTGACAGCCTGTAAAATAGAAGAAAGATAATCAGGGGATACCTGTGTAGAAAAGTGTGCAAGTCTGCAGGATTTCCAGTGAGAGAAATATTACCTGGGAGAGCTGTCAAGAAGAGAAGGAAGTTTAACCAAAGAATCATGTCTCTTCTGTGTTGCGGATTGTTTGGATCACCTTCTTGACTGGCTCAGTCTTAGCTGGCTGGAGGTGGCAAGACTGAATTGGAAAGGGTAGCTTTTAAGGCAGTGATGTGGTTCAACTGATTTGCATGTGCTTTATATAATAACCTCCTTCCCTCTTAATTCACAATTCTTTCCCAGCTAAAGGGCCACAAAGAAGAAGAAGAGCAATTTACATGTGGTGCTGTGTCCCCATAGCCCTGCACGTCACGGCTGACCAAAAGACCACTCAATACTACAGTGTATGGTTCAAATTAGGCGACAACTTTATTGAATGCAACTGTAAGGGGCCTGACTGCTAATTGATCCACACAGGGGTCAAACCAATGTTGAGGAGGCCTTATTACATACATCAGGTGCCACTTCATAGAATCATAGAATCATAGAGTTGGAAGAGACCGCAAGGGCCTTCAAGTCCAACCCCCTGCCAAGCAGGAAACACCATCAGAGCACTCCTGACATATGGTTGTCAAGACTCTGCTTAAAGACCTCCAAAGAAGGAGACTCACCACACTCCTTGGCAGCAAATTCCACTGTCGAACAGCTCTTACTGTCAGGAAGTTCTTCCTAATGTTTAGGTGGAATCTTCTTTCTTGTAGTTTGGATCCATTGCTCCGTGTCCGCTTCTCTGGAGCAGCAGAAAACAACCTTTCTCCCTCCTCTATGTGACATCCTTTTATATATTTGAACATGGCTATCATATCACCCCTTAACCTCCTCTTCTCCAGGCTAAACATGCCCAGCTCCTTAGCCGTTCCTCATAAGGCATCGTTTCCAGGCCTTTGACCATTTTGGTTGCCCTCCTCTGGACACGTTCCAGTTTGTCAGTGTCCTTCTTGAACTGTGGTGCCCAGAACTGGACACAGTACTCCAGGTGAGGTCTGACCAGAGCAGAATACAGTGGCACTATTACTTCCCTTGATCTAGATGCTATACTCCTATTGATGCAGCCCAGAATTGCATTGGCTTTTTAGCTGCCGCGTCACACTGTTGGCTCATGTCAAGTTTGTGGTCAACCAAGACTCCTAGATCCTTTTCACATGTACTGCTCTCAAGCCAGGTGTCCCCATCTTGTATTTGTGCCTCTCATTTTTTTGCCCAAGTGCAATACTTTACATTTCTCCCTGTTAAAATTCATCTTGTTTGTTTTGGCCCAGTTCTCTAATCTGTCAAGGTTGTTTTGAAGTGTGATCCTGTCCTCTGGGGTGTTAGCCACCCCTCCCAGTTTGGTGTCATCTGCAAATTTGATCAGGATGCCCTTGCAGTCCATCATCCAAGTCGTTGATACACAAGAACCACCAACTCAAGAAGTGCTATGGTCCTACCCCCCGATATATCCAGAAATGCATTTATCTGGGGACAGCTTGCATCATTATGGTAAAAAAAGACATATAGAAAGACATTATTTTAAGAGGGAACACTTTGTATATTGGTGAAATTGCATACATAAATGTATAGAAGGGAGAAAAATTGCACCAAGATGCTGACAAGCTTTCATGAGGACAAATAAAATATTACCAAAACCAGTAGAGAAGCAGCACCAGAATTGGTGACTCCTTCTTGTGAGATCTCATTAGATCTTGCCGGAACTGGCCATTAAACATAAGTAAGGGTATCTTTTGCTGGGGGCAGGCGGAAGAAGGTACAGCAGGAACACTTCCCATTTCTCCAAAGGAGGTGAAATGGGGTGCACTGCCCCTGTTGCAGCTGACCTAGGGAGTGTCCTCAGGTTTAAGGGTGTTCATTTGCAGATAGAGCAGGCTGTTTGAATTGTTCCTGGAGATGGTGAATCTTCCTTTGACGGAATCCAAGTAGTAAATGTAAGATGAACCAGTAGATATATAGGCCACCCATTCCAGTCCCTTTCCAGCAGCCTGCCGCACCCAGTTCATCCTGCTGAAGGTGTACCCGGAGGCTCGACAGGTAAGGCGGAGGGACTCTCCAGGCTTTTTTGCATCCCCTCCAGACTCTACCAGCTGAATCTCCGATTGGATGCCTAGAAAAAAAGAGATATTAATGAGCTCTTCTGCATATTATTAGCAGTCAGGTTGCCCAATTCTTGTTTATTTGAAAGGATGGATTTACCTCTAAAAATAGCTGAAAAGAAAACAAGATGAAGCAAAGCTATCATTTTTGCCATCTAATGCCAGGAGAGGGTTGAGCAAATTGTGGTCCCGGGTATTCAGGGTCCTGTGGCTGAGGAAGGGAGGGTGTCTGATGGATTTAAAGATGAAGCAATCTCAAATAATTTGCATATGTAGTAAGGTAAAAGCACCACTACAGCTGTTGGGCAAACTATGGCTCTGAAGGCAAGCCTCAGTCTATATCACAAGCTATTATTTTCCAATGTACAGTTTAGTAATTGTTCCCACAGTATGTTTGTATATCGCTGTCAGGAAAAAAAGAGCAAAATGGGGCTTGGCAAAGTAGATAGCCATCTTCCTTTCTTTTTCTGTCTTTCTAAAGATGGGAAGATAAATTCACCTGTAATGTGTGAAATGGCTAATATCAATGCCATTTTTACACAAACCAGTCTCTCTGTTAACTTATGTGTATGCAGAAAAATCCTATTCTGTGCAGAGATTTAGGAGAAATTTGTGTTGTCCACTTTTCAGAATAATTCAACCAAGCAGAATCTCTGGGACTTGCTTGTGGATCAGAAGGCAACTCCCTATGGCTTGTCCACACTTCCACTTGTCCTGTTCCTTGAATTCATGGGTCAGAATGGTTTGCCTTGCTTTCTAGGCATGAGTCTGAGCGGTTTTGCCTTTGTCCCACCACTTTCCCTGGAAAAACTGTTCTTAACATTAAATGCATCTATATTGTCATAAGTTTGGGAGACTTCCCTGAAATACCTGGATGCAGTAAAGTGTTAGGAATTTCAGTAAAGTGTTAAATTCTGGGTCTAGAGAGGCAAGCCTGGGCTGTGTGCATGGAGGTCCTAGGCTGCCTGAAAAGGGTCAGAGAGGGTCAGACATGATATTTGGGGTCTCTTGGCAAAATTACAGCAAGCACAAAAATCAAGGACAAGGGAATTGAAATTGGTTGTTTTACATTATCATGGAAATGAGTGCTAAGATTCCACAGGATTACACTTGATTTACAGAAGTAGCTGTTGTGTCATGAGAAAAAATCTCCTCAGAGACAGAAATCATGAGGTCAGGAAACACTGGGAGAATGGAATGAAACACTGTCTGAATGCAGCCTTAGAGAAGAACAGCGATGTATTGTGTATTTCACATGGGAGATGCCTCACAGGGTTCCTGCTTGCTTTCTTTCCTGTCTTGTTGACAATGCATCCTCCTCTAGCACCTGCATTCCAGCTGCAAAGGCTGCAAAGCAGGGCTTTTGTACAAGCAGGAAGGCAGAAGTTGTCACTGTGTCTCTTGAACAGTAATACAAGGCAGAGTCCTCAGGCTTCAAGCTGGTCATTTGTAGATAGGCTGAAGTTTGAGGATTGTCTCTGGAGATGGTGAAGCGTCCCTGAACTTTGGAATTATACCATTGGCTACTTCCTGAACCACTTACTCCAGCCACCCAGTCCAGTCCTTTCCCAGGAGCCTGACGAATCCAGTGGATTTCATAACTAGTAAAGGTGAATCCTGAAGCCTTGCAGGAGAGGCGGAGGGAGCCTCCAGGAGCTACAGCTCCTCCTCCAGTCTCCACCAACTGAACCTCTGAGTGACAGCCTAAAAAAATGGAGGAAAGAACATCAGTGGAAACCTGTGTAGAAAAGTGTGCAAGTCTCCAGAGTTTCCAGTGGGAGAAATATTATCTGGGAAAGCTGTCAAGAAGAGAAGGAGGCTTAACCAAAGAATCATGTCTCTTCTGTGTTGCAGATTGTTTGGATCACCTTCTTGACTGGCTCAGTCTTAGCTGGCTGGAGGTGGCAAGACTGAATTGGAAAGGGCAGCTTTTAAGGCAGTAATGTTGTTCAACTGATTTGCATGTGCTTCATATAATTACCTCCTTCCCTCTTAATTCACAATTCTTTCCCAGCTAAAGGGCCACAGAGAAGAAGAGGAGCAATTTGCATGTAGAGGTGCTGTGTCCCCATAGCCCTGCAGGTCACAGCTGACCAAAAGACCACTCAAGACTACAGTGTATGGTTCAATTTAGGTGACAACCTTATTGAATGCAACTGTAAGAGGCCTGACTGCTAGTTGATCAACACAGGGGTCAAACCAATGGTGAGAGGCCATATGACGTACATCGGTGGTTCTTCACAAGAACCACCAACTCAAGAAGTGCTATGGTCCTACCCCTATCCATATATCTGCAGAAACTTGCATCATAATGGTAAAAAGACATATAGAAACACATTATTTTAAGAGGGAACACTTTGTATATTGGTGAAATTGCATACATAAATGTATAGAGGGGAGAAAAATTACACCAAAATGCTGACAAGCTTTCATGAGGACAAAAAAATAATAATTGCAAAACCAGTAGAGAAGCAGCACTAGCATTAGTGACTCCTTCTGATGAGATCTCATGAGATCTCATCAGAAGGAGTCACTAAACATAGGTAAGGGTATCCTCAGCCGGGGGCAAGCAGAAGATGGCACAGCAGTAACCCTTCCCATTTCTCCAAAGGGGTTCACTGCCCCTGTTGCAGCTGACCTAGCTGTGTTTATTATAGCTTGGACAGAGAGGCTCCTCATATGTATACCTGGATCTGTGGGTGATTTGCGCTCTTTCCCTCCTTCCTCCACCAACTCTTTCGGTACACTGAAAACAAAGACCATTATTATCCAATGTTGAAAAACATTATCTTACAGCAGGGTCAACCCAGAAAGATTTGAGCCAAAGAGGGCCTTGTCGCTCTTTAGATTCACTTCCTCTCACTGTGGCTCTCTTGGACAGTAACACACAGCTGTGTCCTCAGGTTTCCAGTTGTTCATTTGTGAAGAGAGCTGTCTGTTTGAACCATCCCTGCAGATGGTGAATCTTCCTTTAATAGAATCCAAGAAGTAAACAGGAGGTGGAGATGTGCTTATTTTGGCCACCCATTTGTGGCCTTGTCCAGGAGCCTTTCACACCCAGTCCAGTGGAGGGGAGACTCCATGGGGCTTTTAATGTCCCCTCCAGATTCCTTGTGCTGGATTTCTGAATTGGCAGCTGGGAGGGAACCTGGATGGTGTCAGTAGGGAGCTTCCTAGATGTGGGTTGGGAAATGTTGGACGGTATGGTATTGATGAAGGTGGAGTGAACTTTGCTGTGTTCTGGCTTAGTGGGTAGGAACAGGATGACCCAATGGCAACTCACAACAAGGCTGGATCTGGACCAAAGAATAAAAGTTTTTCAGTATTATTAATAGCTATTGTGAAACTATTAACAGTAATAATATTAATAGTATTAATAATAATTGCATGACCAGGTGGCAACTTCCCCAGCCCCCAGGAACCACCAAAAGGAAGAATGACTTGTGGCAACGTGTTATGGAATTAAAATTTGGACACAACTTTATTAAACTTTCAAGTGTAGGAAGACCTTGGCTTAGGCATTGGGCGTGTGTCCTCCCAGCCCCCCAGCCGGGAGAACTGGGGCTCCTCAGGGTTATTGGGATATGGGGGTGCTCTGCAAGATGCATGTGTATGCAGGCAGCCCACCCCATATCCCTGCACGTAGGGTAGTTCACTGACAACCTTTCAGTGTATGGCCATTGACACCCATATGACAACCCCTTTGAAAGGGGACCCTGGAATAACCACTGTCGTGGGGGGGTTAGTCACCACTCCCTCCCCCCAATTTTACGTAGAAAAGACTAAAGGATTCCGCCCAAGGACTTAAACCATCAAATTCGTCAAAGTTGTGACAAATTGCTATGGGAAGTCCAAACCTGCCAATGCAGGAAAATTTATTCCCAGTTCTTCAACAGCAACCAGTCAAAACACCGTAGCAGTGCCCACTAAACAGGAAGAAAATGGCTAACCTGCAAACAAGAAACATTAAACAAAGGGAGGGTTGGGTGGGTGGGTGAAGTTCCTGACTGGACTGACTGGCCACGGTTGGCTCTACCCCCTATTTATATGACTGGCCCCACCTCCCAGGAGTGTAAATTGACTAACTGAGGCTGGCTGCGAACCTCCAAAGAATAATACTGAGAGGCAGGCCAGGCCACACAACCTGTAAGTTCCCTGGGGTCTGAAGTGCCGCGCGTGATCCCACAAAGGGCACTCACCGTATACAGTGTGAGTGCTCATTAATAGTATTATTAATAGCTATTGTTAAACATCTTCCCTTCTGATGTCAGCCCTGTTCTGTAAATTTCTGTTTTGTGGTTCTGTGGTGCCCCCTCTGGGAACTCTTTACTAAAGTGAATGCAACAAACGGTTGTTGTCTGTGTTGGTTTCTATTTCCTTCACTGAGCAGCATCTGCAGTCACAAGACAGGTGTTTACATTCCACAGTCTGTACTGTTGGAGTTTCTCACGGGAAAGGGAGACTGGATGTGACGTACACTGGTTTCCTGTTTTTCACTCTGTGATTCTCTCCGAGCTGTGAAGGAGAGAGGATGCATTTTCTGCTCCTGCAGAGGCAAGATGTCTTTCTGTAATATACCAGCTTTGAACTGTAAATAAAGCAATATAGAGTATGTAGCACGTATTACTCATCCTTCCGCTGGGCACGACAGGCTCTGCTTTAAATCAACACGTGGTTATGGACTCCAGAGGTCGAATCGGAGTGCCGGCAAAGGATCGGAATGCAGAGGGACGGATCGGAAAGGAATCTGCTCTGCGCGTAGAAGTGATTGATGAGGTATGTGCTACTGCTCCGGGCAGCCTGCCAGCTTCAAGTTAATGGCTTTATGGCTGGACTTTGAACTTTTAAAGCCGGTTTTGCCGGGAATAGGCAAAAGGCTCCCAGGCACAAGTCACTATGCTGGGGAAATCGAAAGTAACTTTTAAGTGTGCCTTTGTGATAAAGCAGCTGCAGCAGTGACGCAGCAAGATTTAAAGCAGCATAGATATGACGCTGAAGGCTAATGCCAGAGTCATGATGGCCCTTCAGGATGCTTGTGGGATTCCTAAGCTCAACAAGAAAAATTACAGCGACTGGGTTCAGTATGCAGAGGCAATTCTGCGGAAAGAGGGTTTGTTTGAGGTGATTACAGGAACCCCCAGTTCCAGTTACAGATGCATGGGAAGCTAAGGATTCCAAAGCAAGGGAACTCTTACATTGATAGTATCCCCAGAAGAGCTCTGTCTATTGCGTGATAAGACCTCAGCCAGAGAAATTTGGGACGCTCTGAGAGAGGCTCACTTAAGGACAGAAGCTGGATCCACTATGTTTTATTTTAACAAGCTGCATAATATGGCTCTTGCTGAAGGTGGAGATGTGCGTTTACATCTAATGGAGATGCAAAATCTGAGACATGAGCTGCAACAGAGAGGACTCAACTTTCCAGAGGCTGTGTATTCTTTCATGATACTACAATCTTTGGGTTCAGGTTGGGAGTCTGTTGCAACCCAGATTGCTGTGCAACCAACTGCTCAGCTGACAGTGGACTTTGTTACTGCCGTGATTTTAAATGAAGCAGATCGCCGGGGTGCTAGCTGCATGGGCAAGGGAGTCTTCACAGACGTCATCCCATAGTGCAGTGGAACCACCAGATGGCGCCAAAGCTTTGAAGGCAGTGAAATGCTACTCGTGTGGACGTCTAGGCCATATGAAGAGGGAATGCAGACATCCCAGGGCCAAGACAGAGCAGCGCAGCGAAGCTCATCGCGCGGAAAGGCCGAGGCAAAGGCAAGGTCCGGTGTCTAGGACAACGCAGCACAAGGCTATGGTTTCACGCTTCACTCCAAAGGTTGCAGAGGTCCAGAAGACGTCTAGATCTTTCTTCGTTGTTGATTCAGCGGCCACCCACCACATGTGCAACGATAAGAAACTGTTTGTGTCTTTTACACCGCAGGAAGGTGCGATTCACCAGGCGGATGACCACACTATTCCCAGTAAAGGCTACGGAACTGTTGTTCTTCACAGTTTGGACTTATCGATACAGAATGTGCTTTACGTGCCAGACGCCAAACATAATCTGCTCAGCGTTGGACAGCTGAATGAGCGGAACATTGACGTTTCCTTCAAGAACAAGAAGTGCATCATCACAAAGAAAAATGATTATGTATTGCATGCAGAATATGTTGATCATTTGTTTGTTTTGTATTATGATGATGTGGTGCAGGATGACACTTGTTGCATTGCAGGTTCTAACAAAAGTTTGCATGCAGAATGTATTCACGATTTTCATCGAAAATTTGGTCATTTGCATTTTGAGGCAGTATCTAAAATGCCTGCCTTGGTTGAAGGTATGACTATTAAACCCTGCAGGTACCACATGAAGTGCAAAGCATGCGCAGCAAACAAGGTGAAAATGGCTGCGAAAGGTAAGGTGTCTAGTAGGAAAGCTACAGAACCATACCAGGTTGTTCATGCTGATTTGGTTGGACCACTAACGCCCTCTTTGGGTGGAAATAGATACTTCATGGTTCTCATTGATGCATTTTCTAGATATATTTTTGTGTACAATCTCAAGCAGAAATCGGAGGCTTTTCCTAGGTTCAAGGAATTCTGTGCTTGGTTGGAAAATGTGCATGGTAAGAAGATAAAGACTCTTTTCAGTGATCGCGGGGAATTCACTTCTCAGCAGTTTGAAGCTTTTCTGACTGAGAAAGGAATTCAACACGATTTGTCTAGTCCTCGCTCGCCATGGCAGAATGGACTTGCGGAGCGGGCAAATCAGACATTGCTTCAAGGGTTAAAGACCTTGCTGCATGATGCCAATCTTCCAGAGAGTTATTGGGCCGAATCTCTCTCGTGTTTTGTTTACAGTTACAATCGCAGGTTATCTTCAGCGATTGGTTGTACCCCTATGAGAAGATGTTTGGCAGAAGCCATACATCAAACACATGAAGATTTTGGTTCTGACATGTGGGTTCGCTCACCACAAAACTCCAAGTTAGACAAGCGTGGATTGCATGGTATCTTTCTAGGTTATCAGAAAGGGTCTTACAGAATAATGATGACTGACTCTAAGACAATTAAGCTCACGAGAAGTGTTGAGTACAATGCAAAGTGGGGGAGAATGTGGGAATTTTCCAATGTTATCCTGATGACGGTGATGAGACTGAGGATAGTCAAAAGCAACCACAACAGCCCACACCCACTGATGAAGGTTCTGAGTCTGAATCTGAAACTGAATCGGGTGATTCAGAGGATTTCGAGAGTGCGAAAGCCTCTATGCGACCCTCTGAAAGCTCTGATCAAGAATTGGAGGAACCATTGTTCACAATAGGTCGTTTTTCTCCTAAGAAGGAAGAGGAGAGTGTTGAAGACTTAAGGCTAATTCGTAGGTCACAGAGAGCCACAAAAGGCAAACCTCCAAAGAGATTTGCTGATGAGTTTGCTAAGATAGCAGTAACAGCTGTTAAAAGCTCCAAGAAGGTATTTGAACCTTCAAGTTTCCAAGAAATCCAGGGTTTGGATTCAAAGGAAGCTGAGCCATGGTTAAATGCCATGAAGGCTGAGCTTGATTCCTTAGAAAGGAACAAAACATGGGAGCTAGTTCCAGTAGTTCCAGGAATGAAACTGCTTGGAAGCAAATGGGTCTTCAAAGCGAAGACAGATCAAAATGGCAAGATAGTCAGACACAAAGCCAGATTGGTAGCCAGAGGTTTTGCACAGGTACCAGGTGAAGACTATCACGAGACCTATTCACCCACAGTGAGATATGAAAGCATTAGGCTTATGCTCAAGCTAGCTGCAGAGGAAAATCTACACATTAGTCACCATGATATTAATACAGCTTTTCTGTACGGATCTCTAGATGAATCACTTTATATGCTTCCACCTGATGGCGTACAGGTAAAACAGGGATTTGTTTGTGCTCTGAAGAAATCCCTTTATGGTCTCAAACAAAGTGCACGGTGTTGGCACACAAAACTCACTGAAGTATTGTTTTCTCTAGGTTTTCAGCAAGGAAAGCTGATCCATGTGTATTTGTCAAAGAGGAGGGGCAAAAGAAACTGTACTGTTTGTTTTATGTTGATGATTTATTATTCTTTTGGAAAGATGTTGCAATGTACAATAGCGCCTAGCTCAACTGAAAGAGCACTTTGACATGAAAGATCTTGGTGAGGTAAACAACTACCTATCTCTGGAAATAGAGAGAGATCAAGATGGTAACATTCTAGTACACCAGTCACGGAAAATTGCTGATGTGTTAAGCAAACTAAATCTGATGGATGCTAACCCTGTAGACACACCGATGACAACAGGTTATCAGGTAGATGACACTGAAGAAGCATTTTCTGACACTACACTGTACAGGAGTGTGCTAGGCAAGCTAAACTTCATTGCCAGATGTTCAAGACCAGACATTGCTGTTAGCTGTAATTTGCTAAGCAGACAAGTCAACAATCCTAGTGTCAAGGATTGGAAAGCTCTGAAACGCATAGCGCGGTATTTGAAAGGCACTATGCATTACAGACTGAGATTTAACAATCAGAAGTCTGGTGGTCTTGAGATATTTGCAGATGCAAGTTTTGGAAGTGACACTACAGACAGGAAAAGTACGTCTGGAGTTTGCTACATGTACAATCAGAGTCTGTTTGATTGGTCATGCAAGAAGCAAACAACAGTTAGCTTAAGTACTTGTGAAGCTGAACTGAATGCACTGTCTTATTCACTTAAGGATTGTGAATGGTTAGTACAATTGTGCAAAGATATGAAAATTCCTGTCAAATGTCCAATCCAGGTTTACCAGGACAACAAAGCATGTTTGGCTTTGCTGAAGTCTGAAGGTTGTAAGCAAAGCACAAAGCACTTACAATTAAAGTTGCAGCATGCTAGGGAATGTATTCAGAAGGGACTCGTAACGGTGTCCTATATGCCAGGTAATGAAATTCCTGCTGATGTATTGTCCAAGATTGTATCAAGGGATCAACACTGTACCTATGTGCAGAAGTTGGGTTTGTACTGATATTGTGCGAACACGCTGCCCAGTGATGTTCACAGAAAGGGGGAGGATGTTGGTTTCTATTTCCTTCACTGAGCAGCAACTGCAGTCACAAGACAGGTGTTTACATTCCACAGTCTGTACTGTTGGAGTTTCTCACGGGAAAGGGAGACTGGATGTGACGTACACTGGTTTCCTGTTTTTCACTGTGTGATTCTCTCCGAGCTGTCGAGGAGAGAGGATGCATTTTCTGCTCCTGCAGAGGCAAGATGTCTTTCTGTAATATACCAGCTTTGAACTGTAAATAAAGCAATATAGAGTATGTAGCACGTATTACTCATCCTTCCGCTGGGCACGACAGGCTCTGCTTTAAATCAACAGTCTGAGGTCTAGTGAGATTTGTGTGTCTTGCACAGTAATACAATGTCTTCTGCTTTCAGGCTTCTCATGTGCAGATAGATGGAATCTGGAGCTACCATCCGAAACCAAGAGTCACATTTCTATTGCAGAAGAATAGCAATTGACCTCAGAGCTATTATACCAAAAGGGCCATTCCAATCCTTTGCCAAGTTTCTGCCTGATCCAGGAATTACAGTACCTGTTAATATCAAGCCCAACAGTGGCACAGATCAGCTCCTGGCTTTGCAGAAGTTTGTCAACACAAGAGGGGACAATATTAATACTGGCTCATAATAGGGAGATACACTGGGCCACCAAAGTATGGCAAATAGCACTTGTGGAAAAATTAATTTAAAAACCTAGCATGAAGACTGTTTTGTAACTGTTCACTTTCACTGTATTATGTAAAAATGAAAACAGATGACTTCCCTCACATTATAAAAGGTTTTTGTTTAACATAAATCATTTATCACCTTCTATACGAATGGTAATCTGAGATAAGAAATTATGTTATTTGGATATTATGTTCATGTATTGCCTAAAACACCAACCTCTGGGTTAGGGTAGGATATTTCATGTATATGATGTTGCTATATCTTACATGCACAGAACAGAAAACAGAGATTCTGTTTCTGAAAGACTTTCCCCTTTTGTATATAGCCCCAAGATAGCTTGTCTCACTTTGTGTTGATTTTCATTTCACATGGTTTTGACATACTTATTTATTGATCGTCATTTATTAGAACCACATTTCTGCATTCAAAATCAGTTTCCTCTTTTTGTACACAGCACCAATTGTTGTGTCTCACTGTGTATTGCCTGGCACAAAAATATACTGCAGAGTTGGCAGCTGCCAGAGTTTTCAGCTGGAAAGAAACCTCATTCTTGGAAGAATCTGAAGAAATGGATATTCGGCTCTTCAGAGAAGGGGCATACCACTTAGTCCCATCATAGGGGTGTACTGCTACAATCCATTCTAGACCTTTTCCAGCAGCTTGACGGAACCAGTGCCAGACAGACTGCTGAGTGGAGATGGAGAAACCTGTGACTTTACAGTGCAAGCTGAGGGCCTCTCCTGGTCTCACCATTCCTGGCCCAGATGATACAAGTTGAACATCTGAGAAGACCCCTTGGAAACAGAGAAGATTTCAATGAGTGTTTGAACGTCACGTAATCACCACTTGAAATACACTAATATTTTGAACTTCCCACAGAATTTGCGCTTACCTTTTGTAATGGCCATCAATGACAACAAGAACCACAAGAACTTCATGGTATTAAGAAAATAATGTGCTAGAAAGGTAGGAAAGATGCGGCTTTGGGTTGGGGAGAAAGGAACAATTTATATTGAAGGAAATAACACCTGTCCCAAGAATCCCACAGTCTCCCTGAGGAATTTGCATGAGCCCTTCCTTCAACAAGGAGCCATATATAAAAGAGCTGGTAAAATCTGGGTTAGTGTCAGGGTAAGTTCCTGCCTGCCTTCCATTGGTATCATCTCCTAGTAGCCAAGCTCCCTTCTGGCCCCCCATACAATATCTGAGGGGGCTGCCCCCCAAGTGGATGAATACCCTGCAAATCAAGTGCCTCTCTGTCAAGTGCACTGCCTTGCTACCAGGATTAAGGGTGCCAGCATGCGAGATGTGTGCAAGTGATGTCAGCATGCTGCACAGTGTGCTGGTGTCATGCACACACATTGTATGCCATGCCCATGCTGTGCTCAAACATGGTGCATCATTGTTACCTCAGTCGCACATGCTGAATGCTGTGCACCATGCCAATGTGTTGTGCGCACTCTGCATGGGCTGCAGGATTAAAGTGAGCATGTTGTACATCATGCATGCACGGCTGATGCATATTGGGGGGGGGACTGGTTCCCTTGAAAACTTGGGGGCCCTCAGCCCCTCGCTCTCCCCCTCTTAGATGGCACGTATGCTTTCCATGCTCTCTGCTTGGAGCAGCCAAGAGTTTCCTGCTGTTTGGTTCCAAAAGGGTTATTAGCAGCAGCAGACTGGAAGGGGAGACGGAAGAGAGACAAACTTCTGTTTTCTCTGCTTCCTAGCTCTGCCTCTCTTGCTGGCAAACTTGTGCCACCCAAGAGCCACATTCCATTATTCTGCCACCTTCGGTGTGTCACATGCCCCTGGTATATTGAGACACAGGCAGAAGTAGTAGAGCATCAAATGTAAAATTTCCCTTTATTTGGTAGACCAGTTTCTACCCACACCTCTCTCTCTGTGGTCTTTCCCAATTGCATTTCACAATACAATTTTCATAATTTGGCTTATAGAAGGAACCACTCTGTTATGTTCATAGAATTCATATAAGGTGAGGGGCTGTGAAGGAAGGACAGTTTTTGCCTGCCTTCAGTTTCACTTCTTCTCACTGTGTCTCTTCTTGCACAGTAATACACAGCTGTGTCGTCTGCTGTCAGGCTGTCCATTTGCAGATAGAGAAGGCTGTTTGAATTGTCCCTGGAGGTGGTGAAGCGCCCCTTCACTTTATCCAAGTAGTAAATTTTAGATGACCTTTCAGATATAGATGCCACCCATTCCAAGCCTTTTCCTGGTGCTTGTCTCACCCAGTACATGACATAGCTGCTGAAGGTGAACACAGAGGCTCGGCAGGAGAGGCGGAGGGACTCTCCTGGCCTTTTCATGTCCCCTCCAGATTCTTCTAGTCGGACCTCTGATTGGATACCTAGAAAGGAAGAGATCCTAATGAGACATTTTGCACACCGTCAATTGCCAGAATATCTAATTCTTCTTCATTTGAAATAATGGATTTATCTCCAACAATTGCTGAAAAGAAAGCAAGAGGAAGTAAAACTATCATTTCCCCTGCCTAGTGCTTGAAGAGGGTTGAGCAAAACCTGGCCCCAGCAATTCAGGGACTTGTAGTTGAGGAAGATCGGATGTTTGCCTGATTTAAAGAGGAAATGGTGAGTGAAAATTTGCATACCTATCAATATATAAAAGCATTACTAAAACCCTTTGGCTCTGAAGGTAAGCTTGGGATTTGAAATGAGCATGTTATTTCCTAATGTACAAGTTTAGCAGGTGGGAGCACAACAGATTTACATATCCTTCTCAGAATAAAAGAGCAAAAAGTATCTCTGGAGCATGAATTTGTTTGGTCTACTACTCAGACTCAACCATCCCAACAGCCTCGCTTGGACTTGCTTGCAGATGGAAAGGCAACTCCCAGTCAGATCGCACACTATTCCAGATTTTGCTCAGCAAAATCTACAGGTCCTGGATGACTGGTAGCTCTATGAATGCTTCCACCTGCTTCTGGAGGCATCATGAGGCAAATGAAATGGAAAGTAGTGGACCCAAATATACCATGAAATATGGAGGCATCATGAGGCAAATGAAATGGAAAGTAGTGGACCCAAATATACCATGAAATATATTATGAAATGAAAACATTTTCATGATACAATAAGATAAAAGGAACAAACGGGGAGAAAAAATACAAAGAAAGAAAGCAGTGCTGCTGCTGCCAAGTTCAGGGAGGATGCTGAGCCAGCGCTTCTCTTGAGTGACGGCGGCTGTGGCTGTGGCAGCTGCAATGGAGCATCCTGTTGCCTTTCCATGGCATCTCCATGGCTGCCGCCTCTAACCTCTCTTGGGCATCTCATAGCAGCTACTGGAGAGAAGGAGGAGATATACTGTAGTGGCCACTGAGGCTCAGCTCTGTGTGACACAGTGACTCTGAGGGATAGGTAGAGAGCAGGGCTGCCCTGGAAAGGAAGAAAGGGAGCGAAGTGGAGCACAGAGTCTTTATTTTCTTTTTAAAAACATGCCTTCTGTTTTTGCCTCTAATCTTGATCCTTTCTTAAATTTATTTATTGGCGTGTGCTTTTCTTTTTGTAAATCTACCAGGGAATTAAATCAAGATTAAGGGGGTTTCCCGGAGTGGTGGAGGGTGTGTGTGCTGTTTATTGTTGGGGTATAAAAAATGCTTAGGGAGGGGGGACCCAAAAATGGAGAGTCAAGTTGACGGGGAGTGAGAAATGTCCCTATTTTCATTTGAGGAATGTTGGAGGGTATGGCTCTAGCAATCGGGTTGCTCCTTTGGGACATGACATATTCCTGGGGATGCACTGATACAAGGTCCTTGTTGCTGGCCTCTCTTCCAGATCCACATGTGCAAGGAATTCAGCCCTACTCAAGCATTCAAAGCAATTGGGGGTGGGGGTTAAAGTATGTAGAGGGAGTACGGATGTCTGTGCAGCCCACCCCCATGCCTTGGTCTCCACCACCCTCGTGCTTCGGAAAGAGGAATTTAAGCAGGTTTGGCTGAACATGTTTATAGCCCTTCCCGTGATCAGGAATGCCACAGTATCAACCAAATACACTTACACACCTACTTCAGACCTTCCTACTCAATATGGAAAGATAGCAGAACAGCGGGAAGGGATGGAGCATATTTCATCCTCATTCCATGTGTTTCAGAACACCTGAAGAGGGTCACTGTGTCTCTCACAACTGGTCCACGATACTCCAAGAGCACAGTTCAAATCCAAGGATAAACAATGGGGCCAGCTTCCAATTAAGGTTTTTGCTTGAACTAACCACTTCATTTGCTGCAACCAGGAACATTTTTTCTAATAAGTTTGCAAAGGAAAGTTTTTGTCTGAGGTTAGATTTACTTCCTCTCATTGTGTGCCTTGCACAGTAATAAACAGCAGTGTCCTCTGGTTTCAAGTTGTTCATTTGCAAAGACAGCTGGCTGCTTGAATCATCCCGGGAAATGGTGAATCTTCCTTTGACAGAATCCGAGTAGTAAGTGGGAGTTGAAGATGTACCTATAAGGGCCACCCATTCCAGGCCCTTTCCAAGAGCTTGTCTCACCCAGCTCATTGCATAGCTCCAGAAGTTGAACCCAGAGGCTTGGCAGGAGAGGCGGAGGGAATATCCAGGCCTTTTGACACCCCCTCCTGATTCTTTGAGCTGGATTTGTGACTGGACACCTGAAAGAAAGACCTACAATTAAACTGTGGGTTCATTATCCACTATAATATAACAGTTTGCCTATATGAAAGAAGAACAAATACCTTTGAGTATTACTAAAAGGAAAACACCTGGAAGCCAAGGTGTCATTTTCCCTTCTTTTACTAGGAGAAGGGTTAAGAAGAAAGTGGCAACCCAGGCAGGACACACAGTGGTTGTTTGAGTGGGTATCACAGGGGCAGGGAACGTATATGGCAGGTTCAAACAGGAAGCTGCCTATGAATTTGCATACCTGTCGGAATAAAAGAGCAGCACAGGCCTTCAGCAACCCAATCTCAAAAGTCATATGTGTGACTTTGGGCTATCAAAGAATTGCTGCTGATTTGCCTGGTGAGGAACAGAGTGGGGAAGTTGGCTCAAGGTATTTAAGTAAAACTGAATGGAATCTACGAATGAAACTGCTTGCAGAATCTCTACTCCTGGTGCTTTCAACCAGGACACTCATTAAAGATAGTTTAATATCCAGCCTTGGGACATAATATTCCAAGAGACTAAGATCAACATACGCCAACCTGGTCCCCACTGATCATTGTGGACTATAATTCCCATCAGCTCCGGCCAACTCAACCTCCTTCCCCACCCCCCTCAAAACAGAGAGAAGTTTGGCTCATGTTACATTGAATAAGCTTCTGCTGCAGAACATCTGGCAGATGACAAGGAAGTGCCTTGGCTGAATTTTTATCAGTTGTTTTTCATTTTGGTGATTGAATTATCATTTCAAGTTATTTTTAGAAACTTTGTCATTTATTGCCATTAAAACCACCTTACATTAGAACTATTGCTCAGTATTGTCACTGCTTTTCTTCTTCTAAAAATAATGTTTAGGGGTACTCACATTTTCCTACTGATATTGAAATACTGCCCCTCAATGATGCCAAACTTAGATTCACAAAATGTTTAGGGGTATGCAGCCCCCCCAAGAAAAAAAGCACTGTGTATTGTTAATATAATAATAATACCTTTATTGTCAATGTACAACCTGTATACAATGAAATTAACCAAGCCTAACCAAGCCTCCCCCCAAAAAAAACACTCAATCTCATTGCACTCTGTTTGCTTATCACACAACACACCACCTCATAAGTCAGTTGTGCTATGTTATTTTCTGTTCAACACCCTGACAGCCCACGGATAGAAACTATTTTTTAGCCTGTTGCTATGACTGATTATACTTCTATATCTCCTGCCCGAGGGTAGAAGATTAAAGAGGTGCTGGCAGGGGTGTGAGTCATCGCTGAAATTTTTTTTTGTTCTCCTAAGGCAATGATGCCCTGCAATGTCATCTAGTGGACTCAAGGGACAGCCCATGATATCATGTCTTGTATTCACCACCGTTTGTAGAGACTTTCTGTCCGTGGCTGTCAAGCCAGCATACCACACTTTGATACAATATGAAAGTTAATATAATAGTTATATAATAGTTATTGCATAATGTCTTCCTTGGTTATTTCTGCTTTGTGGGTTTCTTATTCATGGTTCTCTGCTGCCCCCTTTGGGATCTCTTTACTAATGTGAATGTGGGGAACAGGTTTTTTTCCCCTTAGGTCTTCTGGGATGTCTCATACTGTTGTCTCTTCCACACTTCCACTTGTTTCACCACTTTCCCCCAGGAAAACCTGCTGTTTACTGTTGAATAGGAGCAAACGTCAATGGGGTTTTCTTCTGTGGAATGACATTTGTGGTAAAAAATGGAATTCCTTTGGGAAAGTGGTGTGGCCAACCAGACACACCTCATACTGTTGCCTCTTCCACACTTCAACTTGTTTCACCACTTCACCGCAGGAAAAGATCAATGGGGTTTTCTTCTGTAGAATGATATTTGTGGTAAAGAATGGACTTTCTTTGGGAAAGTGGTGTGGCAAACCAGAATTGCACCCCTTAGTCCTATGCCTAGAAAGCATGGGACACGCAGAAAACCTCTTAGACCCATCCTTTCTAAGTGCTGGACAAACAGAAGTGTGGACAAGCCCCATGCCTCTCACACAGTAGTACAAGGCCGTGTCTTCTGCTCTCAGACTGTTCATCTGCAGATGGAAGTTGGAGTCACCTTTAGAGGCCCATAATTGAACTTGCATTGCAGAAGAATAAAAACTGTACCCAGGAGTGGGATCATAATACCAAATAAGCCATTCCAATCCTTTGCCAGGTTATTTCCAGCATCTGCTCTGAAGGAGCTTCTGGGGTTTTTGTACAAGCAGGAAAGCAGAAGTTGTCACTGTGTCTCTTGCACAGTAATACAGGGCAGAGTCCTCAGGCTTCAAGCTGCTCATTTGCAAATAGGCTGAGGTTTGAGAATTGTCTCTGGAGATTGTGAATCGTCCTTGAACTTTGGAATTATATAATTGTTTGCTTCCAGAAGGTCTGCTAACTTCAGCCACCCACTCCAGTCCTTTCCCAGGAGCCTGACGAATCCAGTTGATAGCATAACTAGTAAAGTTGAATCCTGAAGCCTTGCAGGAGAGGCGGAGGGAGCCTCCAGGAGCTACAGCACCTCCTCCAGTCTCCACCAACTGAACCTCTGAGTGACAGCCTAAAAAATAGAAGAAAGAGCATCAGGGTATACCTGTGAAGAAAAGTGTGCAAGTTCCCAGAGTTTCCAGTGAGAGAAATATTACCTGGGAGAACTGTCAAGAAGAGAAGGAGGTTTAACCAAAGAATCATATTAGTTTGGATCACCTTCATGACTGGTTCAGTCTTAGCTGGCTGGAGGCTGCAGGACTGAATTGGAAAGGACAGCTTTTAAGGCAATGAAGTGGTTCAACTGATTTGCATGTGCTTCATATAATTAACTCCTTTTCTCTGAACTCTTAATTCACGTTTCTTCCCCAGCTAAATGGCCATAGAGAAGAAGAGGAGCAATTTGCCTTTGTTGGCAATGATTTTGGGGGTGAGCCTTCCTTATTGGGTGAATCTCACCTGGCAGCAAGTGGAGGTGTGTAGTTTTCAGATGAGAAAGTGTAACCTTTCATCAATGTTCATTATGGACAGTTTGTTCCAGAGCAGCTCCTCAGGATTGAGTCAAAGGCTCCTTTTAGGTCCAGGAACGCTGTACAAAGTTTTTGATTAAGAACACTAGAGTTTATTTAAACATATATACAACCTGAGCCTGTGATGGAGGGGCTCACAACATTGACACCTGAAGAGGATATTACTTCTCCCATAACTGTACAGAATCTAATCCATCATCCCAGTTGATGTTTAGCTCCATACATACATAGGTAACATGAGAACCTTTCCCCAGGGAATGCTTTTGCTCAATTTTTACAGTACCTCTTTATTATTCTCATTGAATTCTTAATTTCCATTGGGTTTGCAAGCTTGCTTGCTTGCTTGCTTATTTATTTATTTATTTATTTATTGTGATTCAATAGAACAAACTATCTTTTCATAGAAATGATAGGTTCCAGCATGGAAGCATCTCATACATTTTCATCTTTGCTAAGGAAGCAAAACCATTATATTTGGCTGGATGCACAGAAACATATATCTGGAATAGCCTGACACGGGAATCGAGTCCACCATCATGATTACCTGCATACATACAGAATACATGAGAACCTTTACCTAATACATGAGAACCTTTACCTAAAAAAGCCTCAATATTTCTTTAATTTTCTCATTGAATTCTTTTGCATTGCGTTTGCAAAGTAATTTATGCATTGTGATTGAATAGAATCAACTTTCTGCATTCAGAATCAGTTTCTTCTTTTTGTTCAGAGTCCCAATTGCGGTGTGTCACTGTGCTATCTCAAGCACATAAATACACGGCTGAGTCTGCAGCTGTCAGGGAGTTCAGTTGGAAGGAGAACTTGTTCTTGGAGTTGTCTGAAGAAATGGTTACATGGCTCTGAAGAGAAGAAGCAAACCATTTCCCCCCATTATAGGGGTATATTCTTGCAACCCACTCTAGACCTTTGCCAGCAGGCTGACGGATCCAGTTCCAAACAGAACTTGAATCAGTGATGGAGACACCAGTAACTTTACAGAGCAGACTGAGGTTCTCTCCAGGCCTCACTGTTCCTGGACCAGAAGATACAGAGCTGAACATCAGAAAGGACCCTTGAAAGAGATAACTATAATGAATTGATCATCATCTAATGAACATCATCTAATCACTGCATGGAATCAACCTATATTTTTGAACTTCCCATAGAATATACACTTACATTTGTGAAAGGTCACCAAAGAAAACAAAAACAGCAGGAACTTCATGGTTTTAACAAAGAAGTGTCCTAGTGAGGCAGGAAAAAGGAGGATTTGGACATGGAAGAAAGTCAGTAATTTATACTGAGGGGACCTCTTTTGCTGAGAGTTCCTCAAGACCACCTCCAGCCTGCTTGAGTGATTTGCATGTGTCCTTCCTTAGCAAGATATGCTATATAAAGGGACTGTGAGAAACTGGGCTGAGGTCAGGGCTGGCCTGCTTTCCCCTCAGGTGTGTTTCCAATATGTTAACAAACATGTTTACTGTAAAATCAGTTGCGTGGCGATACCCGCCCCCTCCCACAGATGGAATAAATAAAGACACAGGACACCAGAATTTAGGTTAATGGGAGAAAAATGGCCACAACTTTGTTGATTACAGGTAAGAGCGGTATTGACTTTAGGCATTGGCCCTATCAGACTAACCGGTATAACCGGGAAGGGTTAAGCACCAACAAGGGGAGCCCCCGAGATGCACATCCCTAGGCGCTCCCCGAGGGGTTACCGCTCGGGAGCGTGCTTTAGGCCCTAGCCTCCATAGGTTTCGGACGAGTCGACGCCCCCCCCGGAGTCCTTTAACGAACTACCCTTCAACATTTGGGGGAGGTGATGGCATTCCTCTCCCCATCTCATTTGCATAATAATACCCCTGTCAATGCCTAACCGCCCAAACCAAAGGTGTTGTGACATTTTGCTATGAGGTAGGCGAAAAAACCAAGTGGCTTCCAAAATATAGCCAATTAGCCAAATGGAAAAACTCCTACCAGGCCCCTTGCGGCGACCAGCTGAAGCCCATAGCAAAGTCCAGATGAGAACCTAAAGGGCGGGAGGGTGGGAAACCGCAGCTGCTGAAAGAAAAGAAAGGGGTAAGCATGGGCTGCCCCGACCTTAAATGCCCCTTACAAGTACCGCCCCCGCCGCCAGCCAATTGGCTGGAGCAGTGAATGATGAATCTTAATGACCCCGGGATTCCCCAAGTCCCGCGGGGCTGCAGCCAGCCCCGCGAGGGTGTGAATGGGGCGTGAGTCCCCAACCCCCCCCTCCGTATGTCAGGAGTGGCTTATTATAGATTTTGAAGCACATAATTTTCAAGAAATCATGCTTTGGATATCTGCCTTGCTTTCTGAACCATTTTGTTAGCTACAGTTCTTTTAATGTCAACTGTCCAGCCAATTCAGAAGAAGGGGCCAAAGAAGGGGCTTTATGAGATCACTTAGAAGGATTTCAGTCAAAGGTCCACTCTGAATGAATTGAAGGATAAGGCTCTTCTATCCAGCCTGTGTTTCAGCTGGTAAAGTTGAACACACTCATAACTTTCACAGGAACATGAGATCCCTCTCAGGCTGCCTAAACCCTTCTCTGCATAAGTTTTCTGGTCCACAGAGCCAGCCCACCAATGACTTGGGGTGAGTCATCTGCCTTATGTGGCACCTAATGGAAGTGGTAGGAAAGCTGCCTCACTGCTGCTTAAACCTCAATGACCTTCATGGCTGATTGGAACTCTGGTTTCCTAGACCCTAGTCCATCATTCTAACCACTACACCATGCATTCTCTGCAGTGTCGTGTCATCCCTGATCATTGGCCATGCAGAGAAAAGAAACCAATTATTCACCAGGGGAAGGAGGAGAGGGATGGGGACAGAGGATCCTTCCTCTGCATCTCCTCTTGGAATCTGCATGCTGACTTGGGTGGTGGGGGCTTCATCCATGCTTGCATAGCTCAGCTCAGCCCTTCCTTCAATGCAAGACATGGAGTTGGAGCCACCCCTTGAAGTTCAGACAGGGATCTCAATCCTGTTGCTTGTGTCTGATCTGCATGTATGACCTTCAAACCTCTCAGCAGTGCTTCTGTCCATATGCCAAGGACAGTGGATTTATCAAGTTGGATTTATTGCCTGTCTACAAAGGTGGTTTGAAGAGCATGTCAAACATGGAAGCATTGACCATATGAACCTTTATTACCATAAATGTTTTGTTGTTCTTGTTGTTGTTCATTTATCCACCATCGCTATTATATATGGAACATACTTAACATACATACGTACATACATACATACATACATACATACATTGTTATGTAAGGAAGCCTCACAGAATCAAGAAAAATCCTTCCCCCTCCCCTAAGTAGTTTCTCTTAGGGATAAAGAGACCCCAAGTGGAAAGGGAATTTCCCTGTCAGCTGCTCAAGAAAGGAATGGTTAGTGATTAAGGCTTGTATTTAGTTCTGTGAAACAAATAACAAATATTCAATATTGCACAAAATGCATATTTGCGACCAAGGACACTGCTTTGTCCCCATGACTGAGAGGGCCGGGGTCACCCAGTTTAAGTACACCATGCACACATAAATTTATTATTTGTATAGGTAGCTTATTGAGGAAAGATGATCTTTTGAATGGGAGAAAAGGTCGGGATTTTTAATGTGGTGAGTTTCCTTTTGAAGAGGAATTCTGCCCGCCCCCATATTTGCATGAGCCCCTCCTCCAATGACAGATGGAATATAAAGTGGCTCTTACAAGCAAAATGGTGTAGGCTTTTCCAGGACTTCCTTATTTGTCATTGAGAATGCCTGGACAGAGAGATGGTTTCCCCTCCTCAGCACTTGCTCTTTGGTACATCGCTGCTCTGGGCATTTATTCAGGCATGTCTGCAAAGTTTCTGTCCCACAAAACTGACTCAGCAGAAAGAGGGGTGGCTCCAAATCCCTCCTCTTTATCCTGCCTGCTGGGACTGCATAAATAGAGAGAGAGGGTGAAGCTCCTGAAAGCCCAGAGTATATGATTGCATAACCTCCAAGATTCCTCAGATGAAAATAAGGACATTCATCACTCCCTAACCCTACAACTGAACCTCCTTGACCCCCTTTTATTCTCCCCTATGTAGTGCATTTCCTGACAGAAGAACAGCCAGGTCCACCACACAGAAGACCTATCCTCCACTGTCACTTCCGGGGTGGCGCCACCGGCACTGGTGGACTCCCTCTGAACTGGAGGGACTAGCTCCGCGGACAACGGGTCTTCTCCGCTACGGCGAGCGGGGACCCTCTTAAAAATCACAGGCGGATGAAGCCTGTGACCATGGAACTCGGCGGGCACCTTTAGCGCCCCCCCAACCCACTAAGGAACCCACTAACGGGCTCCGAAGTGAAGAGGGGGAAGTGGCGCGGTGCTGTGAGTCAACTGCTATTTCCGTGGAGCGAAGCCGCATAGCTGTTGCCGGAGAGCGCTGCCTTTTTCCTGGGACAATTTGGACTTTAAAATAAGCACCCGTGAGTACTTAGACTTTGAACAATTGGACATCAAATAAGGACTTGCGAGTAGAAAAGAATCGGACTTTAAAAATTTACTTGAATTTGGTACGGAACAGGAAGGTCTAAACAGGAAGTCATCCTTCCGTTCTTTTGTAAACAGAATAAAGCAAAGGCAACTTAAACTAGAGCTTAGAAAATCGCTTTTAAAAGATTGGATTTCACCATTTAAAATTGTGGAACCCCCCTTCGACAGCAGGAGAAGAGGGGATCTTTTGGACTGTTTAAAGTGACTTTAAAGTGAAGTAACTTTCCTCCGTCCTGATCCTGGAGTGGGCTGTCAGGACTGACGTGTGAAGTTCATTAACCAAAGACAAGTGTTTTTGACAGATGGCTAAAAGAAGAGAAACCTAGTGATTCCACTGTTCCCTTTCGCATTTTAAAGGATTATATATGGACAAAGTATCTTTAAAAAGGATACTTTGTTGCAAGAATAAATAGAAGTCTTCCCCCTAGGGGGAGTCTGTGAAATTGTAACTGTGAAACTGTAACTAACTCCAGGGAGTCGACAGCTGTTACAGATTACAACCGTGGGAACAAGTATCTGACCTTGTGGGACAATGTATTCAGAAGCCTTCTTGTATGCTCTCTATAAAACAAACGATCTACTGGAACAATTACACGAGAAGGTGAATTGGATGGCGACTTCGACTAGAAATTTTGAACAGACAGTGGGAAACTTTGAACAGACAGTGGGAAAATATGTGGAGCCCACTCAGGATTTAAATCAGGAGTGTGTCTTGACAGAACAGGAGTTTTTGACATTAAATCAGGAGTGTGTTTTGACAGAACAGGCCCAACAGGAATATGATTTTTGGATTTGACAAATGAACTTGGAAAAAGCCATATCTGGAAAGGAAAAGTTTGGCTTGGTTTGGAAATGGGGGGCTGGATTGACCCCCCTATGCTGGGATGTTTGGACTTTTCAAATATGGCAACGGGCCGTGAGATGTTTGGGACTGTGGGGGCTCTCAATTTTGGAGGGCCTTTGAAACATGCTTTTAAATACTACATGGAATTCATTGTTGAACATGGAAAAGGGGCTGATCTGTTGAGAAGGGTTAAAAACATTGTCAAGCTGGAGTTACCACGCGCAAGAGACAAGGGAAAATACAGTTACAAATATGAAGAAGAGCCACGGAAGGGTCATGGAAGAGACTTGAGGGCCTCGGACATAAGGTTGCCAGGTTAATGGGCTAGATTGACGGGAATAAGGACTGACAAAACCCGGAACCAGGAGGAAAGGGACGCTGGATGAAGATTGGATCTGTTTATACCTCTTTTTTCTACTATTAGAACTGTTTTATAAAATTGATGAATGATAGGAAAATGTTGGAATGAAAATACTTGGCTTTAGCAAAGATGTTTAAAGAATTATGAAAGAATATTATCATCAGGAGAAGTTGGTAAGGATAAGATTTAAGTTTTAAGTGTTAAGGTTTATTTTATTATAGAAAGATAAGGTCAAGGATTTGCTGGGATAATTAATAACTAGGATACAAAGAAAGGGAGGAGGAGGAGGTCTAAGAAAGAAGGTAATGACAGTTAAGGATTTGAAAATAATGAATTTGTTTTTAAATGTTTTTAAAGTTTTGTGATTTTTGTATTCTTTTTTTCTTTTTTTCTGTCATTTTTTTCTCATTTGGAATTTTTTCTTATATGGTGGGAAGGGGTTGGTTTTTTTTTCTTTTTTCTACTTTGTTAACTATTTTTATTCTTTGTATTCTCTTCTGCTTCTCTTTTTTTTTGTAACATTTTGAAAATCTCAATAAATATCTTTAAAAAAAAAAAAAGAACAGCCAGGGGCACCACACAGAAGACCCACCCTCCACTGTCCTGAGAAAGCCCCTTAATCATTTTTATTTTATTGTATTGTATTCTTTGATAGATTTACAAAAAGAAAAACACAACCAATAAATAAATTTTAAAAAGTGGCAAGATCATATGTGGACATACAAAACATTCTTTAAATTAAAAAAGATCAAGACTTTTTATTTATTTTTTAATTAAAAAATATCAAGTCTTCCCCTCCCCAGTGCAATTCCAATTGAAAGTTAGGAAAAGGTGGCAATTGCCTATTCAGATTTTTGCTTGAACTATCCAGTTTATTCCCCACAAACAGGAAAGAAATGCTTTTAAGACTTCAGATGAAAGTTTTTGTCTGAGCCTACATTGAGTTCCTCTCACTATGTCTCTCTTGCACAGTAATGCACGACTGTGTCCTCAGGTTTAAGGTTGAGCATGGCATTTCCAGATTACTTTATTCCCAGTCCAGGAGGACCACAACATGCTGGTGGCAGAAGCTGCTCCTGAATATCTTCCACTGTAATCAGAATTCATGAAAGAACAGAAATCTTGAAGGGAAGTATAAAGGCCTGGGAGAGAAACAAAGGAATGGGCAGGATGAATTTGCTTTGAACGGGCTTACTTTGTTGGAACAAGATGATTATGGGACAATCCCCAACAGGCTAGAGATGGGCCAAAGAAGAACAAATGTTCCCTGTAGTAACAGCTAATGTTGTTCCCTTGCTTTGTCTGCTCTGTCCTGATAGATTCTGGTTTGTGGTGCTTTGATGCCCCCTCTGGAATCCTCACTTAAGAAATGCAATGAAGGGTTTTTGGCTAAGGTCTAATGGGAAGCCTCTCACTGTGTATCTTGCACAGTAATACATTGCTGTGTCTTCTGCTGCCAGGCTGTTCATTTGCAGATAGAGCAGGCTGTTTGAATTGTCCCTGGAAATGGTGAAGCGCCCCTTCACTTTATCCAAGTAGCGAATGTCAGCTGAAGCACTAGATATTTGTGCCACCCATTCCAAGCCTTTTCCTGGTGCTTGTCTCACCCAGTGCATGTAATAGCTGAGGAAGGTGAACCCGGAGGCTCTGCAGGAGAGGCGGAGAGACTCTCCAGGCGTTTTAATATCTCCTCCTGATTCTGTGAGCTGGATTTCTGACTGTACACCTGAAAGATAGACTTAAGGTTAGACTGCAGGCTCATTTACAAATACAATGTAACAGCCGTCTTTATCTGAAAGAAGGATTACCTTCAAATACCACTAAAAGTAAAACACAGTGAAGGCAAGATGTCATTTCCACTTATTTTTAATGGGACAGTGATCAAGTAAAAAATAGCAACCCAGGCAGGGACACACAAAGGTTGTGTACTTGGGTTTTTGTTTGCTCAGGAATAATATATGCCAGATTTTAACAGGAAGCTGTTTAAGTATTTGCATATCTGTGAGGATAACAGAGCAGCCCGACAACCCCATCACATAGGCATACATGTGATTATGGACAGTCAAAACTTTCTGGCAACACCCATGGTGAGGAACAGGGCAGTTGTCTCAAGATACTGAAGTTAAAATTGAACTGAATCAAGCTCTGAAGGAAATTGGTGGCAGAAAATCCACTCTTGGTGCTTTGAACCAAAGAATGGATTGAAAGTCAATGCCCATGATTGATAATTAAAATACCAGCCTTGGACATAATGTAGCAAAATGTAGACTTAGATCAACATCCATCAACCTGGTCCCCATTATCATTGGGAATGATAATGCCCATCAGCCCCAGCCTTTCAATAGTGCCAGCTAAGAAGCAGAAAGAAGAAAGTTTTATGAAGAGACAAGTTGGTGCTAGCATTTTGGAGGTGTTGATGGTTCTTCACTTGTTGACTGGCTTTGCTAGTCAAGCCCACAGTCTTCATCCCTAGGCCCCTGCCCCTGGGACTCTGCCTTTGTAGAAGCTCCACTCACTAAAACCAGCTTTTATTGCAGGTGAGGCAGGCAGGGAGGCTGCTGATTTGGGTACTCAGTTGTGCGGCACCGCACTTGAAAAGGAAGAACCTTAGCTGCACGGGGAAAGTAGCTGGAAAGTGAGGAGGTTTACCTGCCTAACCTAGTGAAACAAGCTGGAAGGAACAATGTAGCAGTCCTGGGCATTGTGTTGTGATTGGGAAAGAACTATAAATTGCTGTTGTTTTACTTATCTAGGCCAGAACATCAGTTTCTCTGAGTTTCAATAAATGAACATAGTATTTCCCAGTTTACTTTATTCCCAGTCCAGGAGGATCACAGCATGCTGGTGGCAGAAGCTGCTCCTGAATATCTTCCACTGTAATCAGAATTCGTGAAAGAACAGAAATCTTGAGGGAATAATGAAGCCCTGTGAGAGAAAGAAAGGAATGGGCAGGGTAAATTTGCTTTGAATGGGTTTAATGGGTTGGAACAAGATGATCATGGGACAACTCGCAACAGGCTAGAGGTGGGCCAAAGAAGAACAGATGTTCCCTGTAGTAAAAGCTATTGTTATTCCCTTGGTTTTAGTGCTCTGCTCTGAGAGTTTCTGGTTTGTGGTGCTTTGGTGCCCCCTCTGGAAACTTCACTAATGGAATGCAATGAAGAGTTTTTGTCTAAGGTCTAATGAGAAGTCTCTCACTGTGTCTCTTGCACAGTAATACATTCCTGTGTCCTCAGGTTTAAGGTTGTTCATTTGCAAATACAGCTGGCTGTTTGAATCATCTCTGGAAATGCTGAATCGTCCTTTGACGGAATCCAAGTAGTAAATGGGAGATGAATATGTATCTATATAGGCCACCCATTCCAGGCCCTTTCCTGGAGATTGTCTCACCCATGACATGTAAGAGCTGCTGAAGGTGAACCCGGAGGCTCGACAGGTAAGGCGGAGGGACTCTCCAGGCTTTTTTGCATCCCCTCCAGACTCTACCAGTTTGACCTCCGATTGGATGCCTAGAAAAAAAAAAGATATCAATTAGCTCTTCTGCATATTATTAGCAGTCTGGGTGTCCAACTCTTGTTTATTTGAAAGGATGGATTTACTTATAAAAAAAATGCTGAAAAGAAAAGAAGCTGAAGCAAAACTATCATTTTTTCCATCTAATGACTGGAGAGGGTTGAGCAAATTGTGGCCCCACGTATTCAGGGTCCTGTGGCTGAGGAAGGGAGGGTGTCTGGTGGATTTAAAGAGGAAGCAATCTCCAATAATTTGCATATGTAGTAATGTAAAAGCACCACTACAGCTGTTGGGCAAACTATGGTTCTGAAGGCAAGCCTAGTCTATAAAACAAGCTATTATTTTCCAGTGTCCAGTTTAGCAGTTCTTACCACAGTAGGTTTGTATATTCCCCTCAGAATAAAAGAGCAAAATGGGGCTTGGGTAATTAGGTTGCCATCTTCCTTTTTTCTTTTTTTCTTTTTCCTTTTCTTATCTTTTCTTTTCTTTTCATCTTACTTAAAGATGGGGAAATAATGTTATTGGCATCTGGAAATAATAGAATGAATAAAAACTGACACCACTTGAAATAAAAATCATCTTGACCAAAAATATGGTTTCAAAGCTTTACTTACAGAACTTTCATAGAATCATAGAATTATAGCTTGTTCCAAAATAGAAAGAAAACAATTTTACATCAAATAGTTGCATAAAACCATGTGTTTGTCCAACCATAAGTTCAGCGTCTTAGTACTATAAACTCACTCCAAACAGACTCCATTAGCCTGAATTCCAGCCTGAGTCTTTTCTCTCCTGAAGATACATCATTAGGAAACCTTACTTCTATGGTGGCTTGAGCAAGGACAGAGGAAAGGCGGTGTGGTGGGGGCAGGCTGCCCTGGGTGTCACCACTGAGGAGGGTGACAAAATGCCGGGCGGCACTCACCGTGGGGCTTGCAGTGCACAAGCCACACGTCTCTCCTGGGAGTGACGCGGTGGCTTGGGTGCCGGCAGGCTCCGTATTGTCACAAACGGTCCACCCGCTGCCTCCCCCTCAGCTGTAGGGTGGCTGAGTGGGAGGAGGCAGGCAGTGTCCTTGGAGGCCCCGTGGAGTATCCTGCCCCGGCTCACTCCACCGCTGGGCACAGGACACGTGCGCCGCTGCAGGCGCCCAATGGGCTTGCTCTGCCGCTGAGCTTCAGAACAAAGGACAACTCCCTAAAAATGGAGGTTTGCAACTGAAATCAAGATACAGGACCGTATCCCATAAGAACTGTATGCCTGAATAGCACCTCAAATGAAGTGGCAAAGCTTCATGCTCCAGCACTGGGGAGGCGGAGATTAGGTGGGGGCAGGGCTGGCGTGCGTCCTGAGGGCATGGTGTGCCACCCGCAGTGGCGAGACATGCATCCTGGGGCCGTGGTACGCCGCCTGTGGGAACTTGGCAGCCCCACCAGAATTGCACTGCCAGGGGTGGTGCATTCCCCCCCGCATGCCTCTTCCTCCACCAGTGCTCAAATGTTGTCACATGGTGTGATTCCTGAAAGCAGTGGAAAAATTACAGCAAGCACAAAAATCTGGGATGATGGAATTCCAAATGGATGTTTTTCTGGAATACATTATCATGGGAATGAGCGCTAAGGTTCGACAGGATTACACTAGATTTACAGAAGTAGCTTTTGTGTCATGTGAGAGATCTCACCAGAGACAGAAAGCATGTGGTAAGGAAACATTGGGAGAATGGAATGAAAGGCTGTTTGAATGCAGCCTTGGAGTGGCACTGTGATGTATTGTGCACTTCACATGGGAGTTGCCCCACTGGGTCCCTGTATGCTTTTCTTCCCCCCTTGTTGACAATGCATCCTTCTCTAGCACCTGCATTCCAGCAGCAAATGCTGCAAAGCAGGGCTTTTTGTACAAACAGGAAGAAAGAAGTTCACACTGTGTCGCTTGAACAGTAATACAAGGCAGAGTCCTCAGGCTTCAAGCTGTTCATTTGTAGAAAGGCTGAAGTTTGAGAATTGTCTCTGGAGATGGTGAAGCGTCCCTGAACTTTGGAATTATACCATTGGCTACTTCCTGAACGACTTACTCCAGCCACCCAGTCCAGTCCTTTCCCGGGAGCCTGACGAATCCAGTGGATTTCATAACTAGCAAAGGTGAATCCTGAAGCCTTGCAGGAGAGGCGGAGGGAGCCTCCAGGAGCTACAGCACCTCCTCCAGTCTCCACCAACTGAACCTCTGAGTGACAGCCTAAAAAAATGGAGGAAAGAACATCAGTGGAAACCTGTGTAGAAAAGTGTGCAAGTCTCGAGAGTTTCCAGTGAGAGAAATATTACCTGGGAGAGCTGTCAAGAAGAGAAGGAGGTTTAACCAAAGAATCATGACTCTTCTGTGTTGCAGATTGTTTGGATCACCTTCTTGACTGGCTCAGTCTTGGCTGGCTGGAGGCTGCAGGACTGAATTGGAAAGGGCAGCTTTTAAGGCAGTGAAGTGGTTCAACTGATTTGCATGTGCTTCATATAATAACCTGCTTTCCTCTTAATTCACAATTCTTTCCCAGCTAAAGGGCCACAGAGAAGAAGAGGAGCAATTTGCATGTAGAGGTGCTGTGTCCCCATAGCCCTGTAGGTCACGGCTGACCAAAAGACCACTCAAGACTACAATGTATGGTTCAAATTAGGCGACAACCTTATTGAATGCAACTGTAAGAGCCCTGACTGCTAGTTGATCGACCCAGGGGTCAAACCAATGTTTAGGAGGCCTTATTACACACATCAGGTGCCTCTTCACAAGAACCACCAACTCAAGAAGTGCTATGGTCCTACCCCGATATATCCAGAAATGCATTTATCTGGGGACAGCTTGCATCATTATGGTAAAAAAGACATATAGAAACACATTATTTTAAGAGGGAACACTTTGTATATTGGTGAAATTGCATACATAAATGTATATAAGGGAGAAAAATTGCACCAAGATGCTGACAAGCTTTCATGAGGACAACTAAAATATTGCAAAAACAGTAGAGAAGCAGCACCAGAATTGGTGACTCTTTCTTGTGAGATCTCATCAGATCTCACCGGAACTGGCCACTAAACATAGGTAAGGGTATCTTTGGCTGGGGGCAGGCAGAAGATGGCACAGCAGTAACACTTCCCATTTCTTCAAAGGAGGTGAAATGGGGTTCACTGCCCCTGTTGCAGCTGACCTTAGCTGTGTTTATTATAGTTTGGCCAGAGAGGCTCCTCATATGTATAGCTGGATCTGCGGGTCATTTGCACTCTTTCCCTCCTTCCTCCACCAACTTTTTCAGAACACTGAAAATGAAGACCATTATCATCCAATGTTGAAAAACATTATCTTACAGCAGGGTCAACCCAGAAAGATTTGAGCCAAAGAGGGCTTTGCCGCTCTTTAGATTCACTTTCTCTCACTGTGGCTCTCTTGGACAGTAACACACAGCTGTGTCCTCAGGTTTCAAGTTGTTCATTTGTGAAGAGAGCTGACTGTTTGAACCATCCCTGGAGATGGTGAATCTTCCTTTAATAGAATCCAAGAAGTAAACAGAAGGTGGAGATGTGCTTATTTGGCCACCCATTTGTGGCCTTGTCCAGGAGCCTTTAACACCCAGTCCATTGGAGGGGAGACTCCATGGGGCTTTTAATGTCCCCTCCAGATTCCTCGTGCTGGATTTCTGAATTGGCACCTGGGAGGGAACCTGGGTGGTGTCAGTAGGGGGCATCCTAGATGTGGGTTGGGAAATGTTGGACGGTATGTTATTGATGAAGGTGGGGTGAACTTTGCTGTGTTCTGGCTTAGTGAGTAGGAACAGGATGATCCAATGGCAACTCACAACAAGGCTGGATCTGGACCAAAGAATAAAAGTTTTTCAGTATTATTAATAGCTATTGTGAAACTATTAACAGTAATAATATTAATAGTATTAATAATATTGCATGACGAGGTGGCAACTTCCCCAGCCCCCAGGGACCACCAAAAAGGAATAATGACTTGTGGCAACGTGTTATGGAATTAAAATTTGTTTTTTGTTTTTTTAATTAATATTTATTAAGTTTTCAAAGAATAACAACAAAAATTGCCAGAAAAATTTGAAAATACAAAAAGCAAAAAAGAAAAAGAAGAAAAAAAAACCCAACCAAAAAGAAAAAAAAAGAAAAGGAAAAACAAAAGGATAAAGTCATTTACGATCTCTATTGACTTCCTTTCCAGACTTCCTCCTCCTCCCCTCTCTTGTTTCTTAGTTTTTAATTTTTACAGCAAATCCTTTTCTGTTTTTTCATAACAATCTGTCATTACATTTCCTTATTCTATTTTCCCTCTTGTCATATAAAAACTTTAAAACCCAAAGCTTATATTCTGTATTTACCAAATTCTTATTATCATTACCTTTTTGCAAGTCATTTACCAATCTTTACATAAGCCATATAATTTCAATTCAGCATCTTTCAAACATTTATAAACATTCCCGATATTAAAAAATAAGGAAAATAGTAAGTCAGACACAATCCAGTCAACTTCCAGCGTCCCCTCCCCTGGACCCGGGATTGTCAGTCCTTTTTACTTCAATAGTCCGGCTCCTTAACCTGGTTGTCTCGTGTCCGAGGCCCTCAAATCTCTTTCTTGCCCCTTTCGCGGCTCTTCTTGATGTTTCCCTTTCAGTCGTGGGTACTCCAGCAGAAAGATACTTTTGACCCTTTGCAACAAGTCCATCCCATACCCATTGTCCAAGCCAGACAGCAGATAGTACCACTTCACATTTCCTCGAAACTTGGAGGCTCCGACTGCTCCAAACCTCTGATGACCCATCACCAGACTCGGAAAGTCCAGATATCCAAATAAAGGGGTCAATCCATCCCCCATTTCCAAATCTAACCACATTTTATCTTTCCGAATCTGGTTTATCCCGTGTTATGGAATTAAAATTTGGACACAACTTTATTAAACTTTCAAGTGTAGGAAGACCTTGGCTTAGGCATTGGCTGTGTGTCCCTTCCAGCCCCCAGCTGGGAGAACTGGGGCTCCTCAGGGTAATTGGGATATGGGGGTGCTCTGCAAGATGCATCTGTATGCAGGCAGCTCACCCCATATCCCTGCACGTAGGGTAGTTCACTGACAACCTTTCAGTGTATGGCCAGTGACACCCATATGACAACCCCTTTAAAAGTGGACCCTGGAATCACCACTGTGTGTGGGGGGGTGAGTGTGGGGGGGGCAGAGACAAGGAGTGTCGGCTGCAGTGATAGGCAATTGTTTCCCCTTATATAAAGATGTAAGCATGCAATAAACTTATGCAATTCCATAAAAAGTAGGGGAACAATTTGCCTTTGTTGGCAATGATTTTGGGGTGAGCCTGCCTCATTAGGCACATCTCACCTGGCAGCAGGTGGAGGTGTGTTGTTTTCTGTTGAGAAAGAGTAACCTTTCATCAATGTTCAATATGCACAGTTTGTTCCAGAGCAGCTCCCTCAGGATTGAGTCAAAGGATTCTTTTAGGTGCAGAAACGCTGTACAAAGTTTTTGATTAAGAACACTAGAGTATTTATTCCCTAGGTGGGAAAGTATGATACAATGACACAAGGTGGTTTTGCTCTGGCAAAAGCACACCTCCTCAGGGACTGGTAATGTAGATGGGACATCCACTGGGTAAGCTTTCCCAGAAGTTGTTTAGCATATAGCTTCCCACTAGGGAGAGGAGGATTATTGGTCTGTATTTGGATAGCAATGTGCACTCTCCCTTTTTGTATATTGGAACGACAATTTGTATTATACAATATACAAACGACGATTTGTATATTGGAACGACGATATATTTGTATATTGGAACGACGATTGCACTTGTCCATCCCTCTGGCATTAGTCCAGACATATCTACCTCTGTGAATAGATTGGCCAGCAAGAGAGCCCACCAATCAGGGTCTAGCCTAAGAACATTGGGACCTATGCCATCTGGGCCAGCAGCTTTCACTTACTTTAACTGGCCTATTAACATTTTTCTTTCATCTCATGAAACTGGAGGCCACGTGGGGGCTCGCTTTACGTAGAATGATGAAAAGCTGTCCCACTGGAAAGATCTTCCTGCAAGGCACTTGAAAAGTAAAGGCACCAACCACTAGGTGAAATAGGCGGAGAGGAGAGGTCATTGGTGTTAAATGCACCAGAAATTAACGAACAGAATTTGTTTCATTGAGGTTATGGCATAGTGTTGTTCCCATTGTTTGTTGGCAGGTTCGGATTTCTCTCTTTTTTTATAAGATGCTACAGCGGCTCCCTCGGCCAATAAAGCAAGATGAGCACCGCAACCCCAGAGTCGGCCACGACTGGACCTAATGGTCAGGGGTCCCTTTACTTTTACAGTAAGTTTTTAGTCCTGAAATATTCTAGTGGTAGGGTGGTAGCCTCTTCCTTACAGTGTTGTCAGGAGATAGGCAACCACTAGGCAAAATAGGTGGAGAGGAGAGGTCATTGGTGTTAAATGCCCCAGAAACTAAGGTCCAGAATTTTTTTCTTTGAGGTTTTGGCATAGTGGAGTTGTTCCAATTGTTTGTTGGTAGGTTCGGATCTCTCTCTTTTTTATAAGATGCTGCAGTAAGTTTTTAGACCTGAAATATTCTAGGGGTAGGGTGGTAGACTCTTCCTTACAGTGTTGTCAGGAGATATTGCAGATGTGTGCTTTTGTGCTGGTCCCGGGGGTAAGGTACCTTGGGTGTAGCAGAGTCCACACGAAGAGGGGCAAGGTCCGAGGCAGAGAGCCGGGCGGGGAACAGGAATGCTGGAACAGGAGGCTGTGCAGGGAACAGGAACACCGGATGGTCGGGAACAGGAGGCCGAGCAGGGAACAGGAGTACCGGATAGTCAGGAACAGGAAGCCGAGCAGGGATCAGGAACACAGGAAGGTCCGAAGCCAACAACGACGTTGCTCCCGCAACCTGGGGCCGGGCTGACTGGGCTTTTATCCTCTTCTAAGGCCAGGGCCGGTCCCGGTCCCCAGCAGCCCCGCCTCCTCAGTCCTTAAGGCGAGCACTCCTCCTGGGGGCAACCAGTTCCCTTCGCCTCTGCCCTAAGCCTCTGCAGATCAGGAGAGGCCGAAGGGTTACTGGGCCCTGGAGGAGGCTCACCTGTGGCCACTGAGTCATCAAGCCCCTCTGGGGCCCGAAGGGCTTCACCTGGGGCCAGCTCCTGATGCACTGCCACAGGTGCAGGCTCTTCAGCATCAAGGCCTTGCCCCAGTTCAGCCGGCCCTGGAGGCGGGGACTCCTGTGCAGGCCGGGATTCCTCTGTTTCATCCTCCGAATCGGAATCCCAGGCCATCACACCATCCTCCTCCCAGGCCCCCTCAACCGAGGGTCCGGACCCGGCTTGCCGGGATACGTCGCATGGAACTCTCGGAGGCAGGCAGGTGCATGGACATTGGCCGCTGGTTCCCAGGAACGGTCCTCCGGTCCGTACCCCTTCCAGTCAATGAGATACTGCAGCTTTACCCTGCGGTATCGGGAGTCCAGGATGCGTTCCACCTCGTACTCAGGCTCTCCCCGAACCAACACTGGCTGCGGTCGGGGACGGTTCTGGTGGAACTCGTCGGGTGGGGCCACCGGACTCAAAAGGGACCTGTGGAAGACCGGGTGAACCTTCAGGGTTGCGGGTAACCGGAGACGGAATGCCACAGGAGAGATTTGGTCTACGATAGGGAACGGGCCGGTGAAGCGGGCGTCCAACTTCCGCGAAGGTCGAGAGGGGTGGAGGTGGCGAGTGGAGAGCCAAACCAGGTCACCGACGCGGTTCCGGCCCCACCTGGCGGTGGCGGTCGGCCTGGGCTTTGTACGCTTCCTTGGCCTGGTGCAGTTGCTCCACCAAAAGCTGTTGCTGGGACTGGAGCTCTTGAAGCCACTCCGTCACCGCCGGGACCGCGGATGCCGGCAGCACCTCTGGAAACAGCCGTGGATGATAACCATAACTGGCCTGGAACGGGGTCTGCTGGGTGGACGCATTCACCGCGTTGTTATAGGCGAACTCCGCCAATGCCAGGTGGTCGACCCAGTCATCCTGCTGGTAGCTGCAGTAACACCGGAGGTACTGCTCCAGCACCGCGTTCGCCCGTTCCGTCTGGCCATCGGTCTGTGGGTGGTAGGCTGACGAGAGGCAGACCTCTGTCCCGAGGGTCTGGTGTAATGCTCGCCAGAACCGGGATGTGAACTGAACGCCCCGGTCGGACACCACGCGCTCAGGTAGACCATGCAGGCGGAAGACATGCTGAAGGTACAGCTGAGCAGTTTCCTTGGCTGTGGGTACAGATGGACAGGGAGCGCAGTGCACCATCTTGGTGAAATGGTCGGAGAAAACCAGAAGGCAGGTACAGCCACGAGACGAGGGTAAGTCCACTACAAAGTCCAACGAAACTGTGTGCCAAGGGCGCGGTGGAACTGGCAATGGCTGAAGTAGGCCGGGGGTCGCCCGGTAGGCCCCTTGGCGCGTCGGCAGACATCACAACCAGCAACGTAGCGAGCCACGTCAGCCTTCAGGCGGGGCCACCAAAACTCGCGACTGACCAGATGGGTGGTCCGATACCGTCCAAAGTGCCCCGCTGCCGGGGCATCATGGGCCATCCGGAGAACCTCCAGCCGCAGTGGCCCTGGCGGGATGTACAGACGACCGTGGTGCAGCAGGAGGCCCTGATGCAGGACCAGCCCCGGATACTGTGGGCTGGACCCTTCAGCCAGCTCCCGGAGTCGTTCCTGGGCCCAAGCGTCGACCCGCTGCTGTTCCCGCACCCGAACCTGCAGTGGCTGCGCCTCCTGGGTGGCCAGGAATGCGGCCGGAGGTAGGATCGTGGCGGGCTCTGCTTGCTGTACCGTGTCTGCGTTGTCTTCAGGTTTCCGGGACAGGGCATCCGCCTTCAGATTCTGAGAGCTAGGGATGTAGCGGATCCGAAACTGGAACCGGGAACAGCACACCGCCCCCCGGATCTGTCTTTGGTTCCGCTCGCGGGTGGTCCGGAGGTACTCCAGGCTCCGGTGGTAGGTACTGACCTCCACGGGATGTCGTGCCCCTCAAGATGGTGGCGCCAGACCTCAAAGGCTACCTTGATGGCCAGTAGTTCCCGCTCCCACACAGTATAGTTACGCTCCGCTGGTAGGAGCTGGCGGGAATAGAAGGCACAGGGTAAGAGTGGCGCTTCGGGCCCAATCTGTTGAGACAAGACGGCACCAAGAGCCGTACTGGAGGCGTCGGTCTCCACCACAAAGGGTCGAGAGGGGTCAGGATGCTGTAAGATTGGTGCCCTCTGGAAACAGGCCTTCAACCCCTGAAACGCCTCCTCTGCCTCCTTGTCCCAGGAAAACGGCGTCTTTGGGCGCAGTAGCCGGGTCAACGGGGTGGTGCGATGAGCATAATCAGCGATGAAGGTCCGGTAGTAATTGGCGAACCCCAGGAAACGTTGTAGGTCCTTGCGGTTCCGGGGTGCCGCCCATTCTTGAACCGCTGTCACCTCCCCGGGTCCATTTGCACCCCATCCGGAGAGAGCCGGTGACCAAGGAAGTCCACAGTCCGCTGATGGAACTCGCACTTGCTGAGCTTTGCGTACAAACGGTGCTCACGCAAGCGCTGCAGCACGGTCCGGACATGTCCCTCATGGCGAGCCGGGTCACGGGAGTAAATCAGTATGTCATCCAAATACACCACCACGTACTTGTCTAACAAGTCCTGAAACACGTGGTTGATGTAGCGTTGGAACACAGCAGGCGCGTTGCACAACCCGAAAGGCATAACCAAATATTCGAACTGCCCGTACCGGGTCCCAAACGCTGTCTTCCACTCATCCCCGGCTCGGATCCGAATCAAGTTGTAGGCCCCCCGGAGGTCCAGCTTGGTGAACACCTGTGCCCCTTGCACCCGCTCCAGCAGCTCCGAGATAAGGGGCAAGGGGTATCGGTCTGGGACGGTAATTTTGTTCAAGGCTCGGTAATCATGGCAAGGGCGGAGTTCCCACATTTCTTCTTAACGAAAAGCACTGGTGCCGCGGTAGGCGAGGTGGACGGCCTAATGAACCCACGCTCCAGGTTCTTGCGCAAGAAGTCCTGCAAAGCCTCGCGCTCTGGCTCTGTTAGAGAATATAAGCGACTCACTGGTAGAGGCGCTCCGGGTTGGAGGTCTATGCCGCAGTCCAAAGGCCCATGCGGCGGCAGCTGGTCTGCCCCCGTTCCTCGAACACGTCCTGGTAGTCCTGATACACGGCTGGGAGCGTGGGTGCTGCCTCCTCTGAAGGCGCGGCCGCCAGCGTCCCGGATTGAGCATGGGAACATGGGTCTGGGAAGTGCACGGTCCGTTTGACCCAGTGAATCTGAACGTTGTGGGCTTCCAGCCAGTCCATCCCGAGCACCAGGGGGAAGCGGGGCATAGAGGCAATGTCCAAAGTTCGCAACTCCCGGTGCTGCTGGAAACACAGGACCAGGGGCTGGGTCTCCTGAGTAACGGCACCTGAACACAGAAGTCGTCCGTCAATCGCTTCCACCTGGACCGGTACTGGCTTGTTCCGAAGTGGCACCTGATGATGGGCGGCAAAAGCAGCGTCCATATAAGAGCGGGTTGCCCCTGAATCCACCAAAGCAAACGTACCGGAACCATAAGATGTTGCGAGTCCATTGATGCAGGCCCATTCTGCGCGGTTTGGGACCCCCGGCAGCTAGGGCCATCAGCTACTGGGGTTGGCGGTTTCCCTGCGGCTGGCGTTTCTCAGGGCAAGACCGAGCGAAGTGTCCACTTCCGCCACAGTAAAGACAGAGATTTCCCTCCCGACGCCGCGCCTTCTCTGCGGGGGAAAGGCGTGGCCGCACTGCCCCGAGCTGCATAGGCTCCTCCGTTAAATCAGTTGTGACCGTGGGGCTGCCGGAAAAGCTGGTGCCGTGAACTGGAAGTGTCGGCGACCCCGGGCCTGACGACGATCCTCCAACCGGTCGTCTATTTGTAGACTCCGTTGAATGAGAGTGTCTAGCGTGGTGGGGCGTTCCATTGTGGCCAACTGGTCCAGTACCTCGTCCGAAAGCCCTTCGAGATACTGGTCCCGCAGTGCCGAATCATTCCAGGTCAAGTCCTGTGCCAACAGCCGAAACTCCGTGGTATATGCGGCCACCGTGGACTTGCCCTGTTTCAAACGCCGAATCGCCCGGTTGGCTTGACTCCTTTCTGGGGGTTGCCGAACGCGGCCTCCAAACGATTGCAAAACCCCGTATAGTCTGCCAGCAAGGGGAGTCTTGCCTGAGTAGCGGCAACGCCCACTTGGCCGCCTGGTCCTTTAACAAACTAATCAAAAAGTGCACCTTGGTGCGGTCGTCAGGAAAGTTCCGGGCTCGCCCCTGAATATACAGCTTGGCCTGGGCCAGGAACATGGGAAAGCTGGCCGGGGCTCCATCAAATTTCTCAGGCAAAGCCACTGGGTACTTGCCAGGAGCCGAGGCGTCGGCCCCAGGAGCCGGTAGGGCTTCCAAGCGTTGTTGAAGTGCCACAACCGCGTCACTGAGCTGCTGCACGGTGTGAGTCAAGGCCTGGTTCTTCTGGGCCAAAGCCACCAGTGCAGCCGCCTGGTCAGCCATGGCCTCTGGCTCTTCCCGAACGCACCCCTACGAAGGGGGAGTGCGGGTTTGGCGGGAGCAAACTGTGCTGGTCCCGGGGTAAGGTACCTTGGGTGTAGCAGAGTCCACACGAAGAGGGGCAAGGTCCGAGGCAGAGAGCCGGGCGGGGAACAGGAATGCTGGAACAGGAGGCTGTGCAGGGAACAGGAACACCGGATGGTCGGGAACAGGAGGCCGAGCAGGGAACAGGAGTACCGGATAGTCAGGAACAGGAAGCCGAGCAGGGATCAGGAACACAGGAAGGTCCGAAGCCAACAACGACGTTGCTCCCGCAACCTGGGGCCGGGCTGACTGGGCTTTTATCCTCTTCTAAGGCCAGGGGCGGTCCCGGTCCCCAGGAGCCCCGCCTCCTCTGGCCTTAAGGCGAGCACTCCTCCTGGGGGCAACCAGTTCCCTTCGCCTCTCTGCCCTAAGCCTCTGCAGATCAGGAGAGGCCGAAGGGTTACTGGGCCCTGGAGGAGGCTCACCTGTGGCCACTGAGTCATCAAGCCCCTCTGGGGCCCGAAGGGCTTCACCTGGGGCCAGCTCCTGATGCACTGCCACAGGTGCAGGCTCTTCAGCATCAAGGCCTTGCCCCAGTTCAGCCGGCCCTGGAGGCGGGGACTCCTGTGCAGGCCGGGATTCCTCTGTTTCATCCTCCGAATCGGAATCCCAGGCCATCACAGCTTTGAGATCTCTGCATTCCTTATCAAACCAGCAGCAAAGGGCTCCCTGAATTGTTTTCACACTTTTATTTTTTTTGGTAAAGTCATTCAGAGATGTTATTAGGATTTCAGCTGATGCCGCAGAGCATCTGACACGTCTCTGCTCAATTTGCATGTTCAAAAGTTGTTTCCAGAATTGTGGGGAAATCTTTTGAGGAGTCAAACTCTCAGGGGACCAGTACAAATGAAGCAGAGGAGAAAACAATTGTCTTTGTGGAAGAAAACACAAACCAACATACAGTTACACAGCACCCCAATCTCTGAGCGGTGCAAAATTCCGAGAGTTCCAGGCACTCATGCAGGGTCCGTATTTACTTTTTAAAAATGAGGCACTATAGAGACTATGTTGTCTTTATGATATATGGTTTATTTAAACATATATACAACCTGAGCCTGTGCTGGAGGGGCTCACAACATTGACACCTGAAGAGGATATTACCGTACTTCTCTCATAACTGTACAGAATCTAATCCATCATCCCAGTTGATGTTTAGCTTCATACATGCATAGGGGAACATGAGAACCTTTCTCAGCTTTTGCTCAGTTTTTGCAGTACCTCTTTATTATTCTCATTGAATTCTTAATTTCCATTGGAGCCATTCCATTTCCAAGTTTGAGCCACACCAGGAAGTTCAGACAGGATCTCAATCCTGTTGCCTGTGCTTGAGCCATCATGGTCTGATCTGTACCTTCAAACGTCTCAGCAGTGCTTCTGCCCATATGCCAAGGGCAGTGGATTTATCAAGTTGGATTTATTCCCTGTCTACAAAGGTGGTTTGAAGAGCATGTCAACCATGAGGCATTGGCCATATGAACCTTTCTCACCATACATGTTTTTTGTTGTTGTTCATTTCTCTACCATTATTATTATATACATAGCTGTCAACTTTTCCCTTTCCTTGCAAGGAATCCTATTCACAATAAGGGAATTTCCCTTAAAAAAAAGGGGAAAGTTGACAGCTATGATTATATATGGAACCTACATAACATACATACATACATTGTTATGTATGGAAGCCTCACAGAATCAAGAAAAATGCTTCCCCCTCCCCTAAGTAGTTTCTCTTAGGGATAAAGAGACCCCAAATGGAAAAGGGATTTCCCTGTGAGCTGCACAAGAAGGGAATGGTCAGTGATGTTATTTAGTTCTGTGGAACAAATAACAAATATTCAATATTGCACAAAATACATATTTGTGACCAAGCACACTGCTTTGCCCCCATGACTGAGAGGGTCGGGACCACCCAGTTTAAGCACGCCATACACGCATGCTCTGGGGCATGCTGCCATCACTCGTTGACCCAGGGGCAAAGTAGAGGAAAATAGACAGCAGCTTTGCCAGCCCTCTCCTTGGCTGTGCTGCAATGCAAGAGGGAGCTGCCGAGAGAGTTTCCTCATGCCTGGCTGCAGCCTCCACTCCAGGATCAGTCCAGACCTGGGGGCAGAGACAAGGAGTGTCGGCTGCAGTGATAGGCAATTGTTTCCTTATATAAAGTTGTAAGCATGCAATAAACTTATGCCATTCCATAAAATGTTAGAAAGTAAACCCACTGGATTGTGACAGACAATGGTTCTCGTGAGTCTCAGCAGGAGCTTCCTTTACATCTCCTCTTTAACGAACCTTTCACTGGACATGGAGAATGAGGACGGAAAGCTCTGCTGGATCAGTTGTGAGGCATCACCTTGGTACCATATATCAAATCGAAACAAACATTAAAATGGGGGCATTCACTAGGTAAAGGGACAAGCAAAAAGAAAACGGGGAACAAAATTTAATCAGGACAGTGGACTGTCAAGCATGTTTTTGTAAAAAAGCTGCAGTTACAGGAAAATTCTTCCCCCTTTCATTGGAGATACTGCAGAATGTTGAGGTACATTCTGCAGGCAAAACATATGTTCTATGATTAATCCTCATCATCAACATCATAAGCCCAAATGAATGTCCAAACATATATAATGGTTGAGAATTCTGTGATATGTCTATCTTCATATGTATCACCCAGGTTGTCATTAAGACTGATTAATCAGGAGGTTAGGCTGAATGGAACTCAATGTTCAAGAGATCAGCTCCCTCTCTTTGCAATAATATCATCTTTATGTTTATGGAGTAGAGACAGAAATGTGTGTTCAAAATCAGTTCCCTCTTTTTGTACACATCCCCCATTGGCCTTGTCTCACTGTGTTTCTCGGGTACAGAAATACATAGCAGAATCAGCAGCTGTCAGGGAGTTCAGATGGAGAGAGAACTCGTTCTTGGAGGCATCTGAAGAAATGGTTGCTCGGCTTTTCAGAGAAGGGGCATACCATTTGCCCCCTGAGTTGTGATTTATTGCTGCAATCCATTCTAGACCTTTCCCACGAGGTTGACGGATCCACTGCCAAGCGTAAGAAGAAGAAGTGGAAATAGAGAAACCTGTCACTTTACAGACTAAGCTCAGATTCTCTCCAGGTCTCACTGTTCCTGGTCCAGAAGGTGCAAGCTGAATGTCTGAGAAGGCCCCTTGGGAAAGAGAGAAGATTGCAATCAGCATCAGACACCATCTAATACATACATTAAAAAAACAGAGCTGTCTTAATTTTCCCCAGAAGGCATGCTTACATCTTGGAACAGCCACAAAAGAAAACAAGAACAGAATGAACTTCATAATTTGTATAGGTAGCCTATTGAGGAAAGATGATCGTTTGAATGGGAGAAAAGGTCAGGGTCTTTAATGTGGTGAGTTTCCTTTTGAAGAGGAATTCTGCCCGCCCCCATATTTGCATGAGCCCCTCCTCCAATGACAGATGGCTTATAAAGTGGCTCTTACAAGCAGAATGGTACAGGCTTTTCCAGGTCTTCCTTATTTGTCATTGAGAATGCCTGGACAGAGAGATGGTTTCCCCTCCCCAGCACTTGCTCTTTGGTACATCACTGCTCTGGGCATTTGTTGAGGCATGTCTGCAAAGGTTCTCTCCCACAAACCTGACTCAGCAGAAAGAGGGGTGGCTCCAAATCCCTCCTCTTTATCCTGCCTGCTGGGACTGCATAAATAGAGAGAGAGGGTGAAGCTCCTGAAAGCCCAGAGTATGTGATTGCATAACCTCCAAGATGCCTCAGATGAAAATAAGGACATTCATCACTCCCCAACCCTCCTTGACCCCCTTTTTATTCTCCCCTATGCAGTGCACTTCCTGAGAGAACAGAGAGTGTCACCACACAGAAGACCCACCCTCCACTGACCTGAGAAAGGCCCTTAATCCCATTTTTATTTTATTGTATTCTTTGATAGATTTACAAAAAGAAAAGCACAACCAATAAATAAATTTTAGAAAGTGGCAAGATTAGAAGCGGACACATGTTATCATTTTGGTCACCTTCCTGTGCACACATTCTATCTTACCAACATCCCCCTTAAACTGTTTTGCCCAGAACTGGTGGAGGAGATAAAGATCTGCACTGGGAACAAGTGAGGAATAAAGATCTGCATCAGGAATAAGCGGGGAGGGAGTCTAGTTAACCTTATCCTATGGTTGACAAATATATTGTGTTTGTGTGTGCTGAGTTTCTTCTTTTTGTTCACAGTCCCAAGTGCCGTCTCTCACTGTGCAATCTTGAGCACAGAAATACACAGCACTGTCAGCAGCTTTCAGGGAGTTCAGCCGGAGGGAGAACTCATTCTTGGAGTTGTCTGAAGAAATGGTGACATGGATCTGAAGAGAAGTAGCAAACCATTTTCTCCCATCATGGGGGTATATTCCTTGTCCAATTCTTAATTTCTGAGTACTTTCTGCTGACTTGCAGGCTCTCTCAATGCACATTCCTTCCACTATGGTAACTTGACCATATAGAATGACGAGACTTATACTCAGGTTCCATGTGCAGATTCTGCTTGGATCCCACCAGGTTTTCTCCACTGAACACAGTTTGGCTGTGTAATTAATAAAGAAGCATGTACACCTAAGTCAAGGCAAGCTGAGCATTTTTTTGTTCACTCCTTAGGCCAGAAAGTGAGGAGTCTGGTTGCGTCAGGTTTCAAGAACAAATTGTAGGGAAATCTCTTGAGGAGTCAAACTCCTGAGAGATTACACAACACTGGTTTAGGGGTAAACGGTTGTAGAATTAGTCAGCTTTACATTTGAAACCACAAACTAATACTTTCAGATGTCGGTTTCATTTCCCTCCTGGCCAGTGGTCAAATGTATTCTCTTTAGACTCTGCTGCCATCCTTTGAGGAGAAGCAGTAACAGCAGGAGTTTCTGAGGCCTGGCTTTACCAAGAGATGTTTCTGCGGTAAAAAGGGATGAACTGAGTTCTGGAAAAGAGCTATGAGATTGATGTTACTTGGAATCCGTAGATTTTGCTAAGTGCTAAAGTCATCTACCCCTCTTCAAATCTAAGAAGGGGCAAGGTATTGAGAATGGTAGTTTTCCCATCAGAACTCCTTGCACACTTAAGAAACTGCAGATACATCTACACAACCATCACAACTGAGAGGGGCTGGATATGTGTCTCCTGGTCCTTGCCTGATCTGCAAGTGCCACTGTAAAGAATTTTAACAGAAAATGTTGGTTCCAGCATGGAAGTTTCTCATGCATTTTCCTCTTTGCTGAGGAAGCAAAATCAAGATTTGGTTGGATGCACAGAACCATAGAGCGGGAATAGACTGACATGGGAATTGAGTCCACCATCATGATTAGCTGCATACATACAGAAAAGAACATGAGAACCTTTACCTAAAAAATGACTCAGTACTTCTTTCTTTTTCTCACTGAATTCTTTTGCATTGCATTTGCAAAGTAATTTATGCCTTGTGATTGAATACAGCCTTCTGCATTCAGAATCTGTTTCTCCTCTCTGTTCAGAGTCCCAATTACCATGTGTCACTGTGTCTTCTCGGGCACAGAAATACATGGCTGAGTCAGCAGCTGTCAGGGAGTTCAGCTGGAGAGAGAACTCGTTCTTGGAGTTGTTTGAAGAAATGGTCACACGGCTCTGAAGAGAAGCAGCAAACCATTTTCTCCCATCATAGGGGAATATTCTTGCAACCCACTCTAGACCTTTGCCAGCAGGCTGACGGACCCAGTTCCAAATATAACTATAATCAGATGGAGGTTCTCTCCAGGTCTCACTGCTTTTGGCCCAGAAGATACAAGCTGAACATCGGAAAGGACCCCTTGAAAAGAGAGAACGATAATGAATTGAGCATCATCTAATGAACATCTTCTAATCACTGCATGAAATAAATCTATACTTTTGAACTTCCCATAGAATATACACTTACATTTTTGAAAGGCCACCAAAGAAAACAAGAACAGCAGGAACTTCATGGTTTTAACAAAGAAGTGTCCTAGTGAGGCGGGAAAAAGGGGGAATTGGACATGGGAGAAAGTCAGTAATTTATACTGAAGGGACCTCTTTTGCTGAGAGTTCCGTAAGACCACCTCCAGCCTTCTTGTGTGATTTGCATGTGTCCTTCCTTAGCAAGATATGCTATATAAAGGGACTGTGAGAAACTGGGCTGAGGTCAGGGCTGACCTGCTTTCCCCTCAGGTGTGTTTCCAATATGTTAACTACCATGTTTACTGTAAAATCAGTATTATAGATTTTGAAGTACATAATGTTCAAGAAATCAAGCTTTGGATATCTGCCTTGCTTTCTGAACCATTTTCTTAGCTACAGTTCTTTTAATGTCAACTGTCCAGCTAATTCAGTATCAAGGTTTGACCCAAGAAGGTGCGTTATGAGATCACTTAGAAGGATCTCAGTCAAAGGTCCACTCTGAATGAATTGAAGGATAAGGCTCTTCTATCCAGCCTGTGTTTAAGCTGGTAAAGATGAACACACTCATAACTTTCACAGGAACATGAGATCCCTTTCAGACTGCCTAAACCCTTCTCTGCATAAGTTTTCTGGTCCAAAGAACCAGCCCACCAATGACTTGGGGTGAGTCATCTGCCTTATGTGGCACCTAATGGAAGTAGTAGGAAAGCTGCCTCAGTGCTGCTTAAACCCCAATGACCTTCATGGCTGATTGGAACTCTGGTCTCCTAGAACTAGTCCATCATTCTAACCACTACACCACACATTCTCTGCAGTGTCATGTCATGCTTGATCATTGGCCATGCAGAGAAAAGAAACCAATTATTCACCAGGGGAGGGAGGAGAGGGATGGGGACATAGGATCCTTCTTCTGCATCTCCTCTTGGTATCTGCATGCCAGCTTGGGGGGTGGAGGCTTTATCCATGCTTGCATAGCTCAGCTCAGCCCTTCCTTCAATGTAAGACGAAGTTGGAACCACCCCTGGAAGTTCAGACAGGGATCTCAGTCCTGTTGCTTGTGCTTGAGCCATCATGGTCTGATCTGTATGTATGACCTTCAAACGTCTCAGCAGTGCTTCTGTCCGTATGCCAAGGACAGTGGATTTATCAAGTTGGATTTATTGCCTGTCTACAAAGGTGGTTTGAAGAGCATGTCAAACATGGATGCATTGATCATATGAACCTTTCTTACCATAAATGTTTTTTGTTGTTGTTCATTTATCCACCATCCCTATTATATATGGAACATACTTAACATACATACATACATACATTGTTATGTAAGGAAGCTTCACAGAGTCAATAAAAATGCTTCCCCTTCTCCTAAGTAGTTTATCTTAGGGATAAAGAGACCCCAAATGGAAAGGGAATTTCCCTATGAGCTGCTCAAGAAGGGAATGGTCAGTGAAGATGACTTGTATTTAATTCTGTGGAACAAATAACAAATATTCAATATTGCACAAAATACGTATTTGTGACCAACCGCACTGCTTTGCTCCCGCAATTGAGAGGGCTGGGGCCGCCGAGTTTAAGCATGCCATGCACACATGATGTGAGGCATGCTGACATCACTCAACGACCCAGGGGCGAAGTGAACAAAAATAGGCAGCAGCTTCCCCACCCCTCTCCTTGGCTGTGCTGCAACACAAGAGGGAGTTGCCGAGGCAGTTTCCTCATTCCTGGCTGCAGCCTCCACTCCACGATCAGTCATGACCTGAAGGCAGAGACGAGGAGTGTCGGTGGCAGTGATAGGCAATTGTTTCCACTTATATAAAGATGTAAGTATGCAATAGATTTATGGCATTGTGTATGACGTTAGAAATACTCAGAGTAGATCTACGGGATTGCGACAGGCAATGGTTCTCCTGAGTCTCATCAGGAGCTTCCTTTACATCTCTTCTTAAATGAATCTTTCACTGGACATGGAGAATGAGGACGGAAAGCTCCGCTGGATCAGTAGTGAGGTACCATATATCAAATTGAAACAAACATTAAAATGGGGGCATTCACTAGATAGAGGGACAAACAAAAAGAAAATGGGGGGGGGTCAGGACAGTAGACTGTCAAGCATGTTCATGGAAAGAAAGCTACAGTAACAGGATATTGGTCCCCCCTTTCATTGGAGATCCTGCAGAATGAGGAGGGTACATTCTGCATGCAAAACATGTGTTCTACGGTTAATCCTCATCATCAACATCATA